GGTTATTGATGTTGGTTATTGATGTTGGTTATGTTGGTTATTGATGTTGGTTATTGATGTTGGTTATTGATGTTGGTTATGTTGGTTATTGATGTTGGTTATTGATGTTGGTTATGTTGGTTATTGATGTTGGTTATTGATGTTGGTTATGTTGGTTATTGATGTTGGTTATGCTGGTTGTTATTGATGTTGGTTATGTTGGTTGTTATTGAAGTTGGTTATGTTGGTTATGTTGGTAGTTATTGATGTTGGTTATGTTGGTTATTGATGTTGGTTATGTTGGTTGTTATTGATGTTGGTTATGTTGGTTGTTATTGATGTTGGTTATGTTGGTTATTGATGTTGGTTATGTTGGTTATTGATGTTGGTTATGTTGGTTATTGATGTTGGTTATGTTTGTTATTGATGTTGGTTATGTTGGTTATTGATGTTGGTTATGTTGGTTATTGATGTTGGTTATGTTGGTTATTGATGTTGGTTATGCCTCCATTTCTTTGTTTTCCCATCTTTCTTTTCTTATTGTTGCATTTTAGGAGGAAGGTCTGATTCAAGCCAGCAAGAAGGTCAAAGACACAAAGTTCACCAGCATTGTGACCTTTAACACTGAACCTGCTGATTCCCACAACAATCACATAGTATCACAGTCATCATCATCTACAGCTATTCCGATTCCAGAGAAATCAAACTTAGTTACTCCCTCTGTTTCTGTAACAGCAGCTGCCAGGCTGTTGCAAGCAAGTGAGTGTATTTTTCAATTAGGTAAAATTTTTTGGGTATTTATATCTATGACTTTCTCATGCTGACTGAATGAAATCTTGATTAAAATTGCTGATTGATTCCTTTTTAGCTGCCGTCAGTCGCAGTTTTGGTGATGCACATTTCACTGAAGAACGAACCAACAGTACTTTGGTAAACTTCAGTGATGCGATCGTTGGTAGTGCTAATGCTGTACATGACCGTGTATCCACCAGTCCACATCATCAATTTGTTTATCGCACTCTGATCAATCCATTTGCTCCATCCAACATGGCCGTACGACTGACATCAAACAGACGGAGATGGACTCACTCATTTCCGCCAGGTACTCAATCTCATTGTTTGTGTGCAGTGTTTTATCAGAGTGATGTAAATGTTGATAAGAGGTTCCCCATGACACATTGTTTAACCCCTTCACGGCGGGATTTTTTTTTACCGTGACTGCTAGACTGTGGTATGCTCAGTATGCAGAGCCCTATCTAGCAGCAGGCCCACATTGAAACGGCAGGTGCATGATGAATAGAATGTATGTGCCGTATGCACTAATCCTCCCACTAAGCCGCGGCATTTGTCATCTCCCTGCTCGAAGGGGTTAAAGCTCACTGCTTTCCCCAGAGCTTATTCCTAAGAGCCTTGTAATGTTACTTGGATAGAACTCTTTTGTTCTTAGATCCAACGTTGTGCCTTTTTGTTCTGAGTTTGAACTTACAGTGTTTGAACTTACAGTGTTAACAGGAAGATTTCATCAATTTTATAGCAGTGAGCTATTTTCTTGACAGGTCCTTCAGGAGAGACCATGCAGCCCCATCACCGTCGATGGACCATGAGTGAAGCAGACACAAACACACTTCCCTCCGGCACTCCTGTAGGCTTGTCAGAATCCATCTCAGCACCAGTGAATCATCCAGCCTCTCCTAGACAGCTCAGCCCACCTCAAAGATTAATACCCTCCCCCTCTAGGCCAAGCCCCTCCCCTCTTAGATTGGCCCCACCCCCTGCTAATGGCATGCTGAAGTCCAGCAGTGCGTCTAGTCTTGGGAGTGATGGATCAGGGTCTGGTAACCCAACTCATCACAACACAGCATCAAGACCACCTTTAATGCACCGGCAGAATAGCAACTTACCAGATGCAGGTACACAAGCCTAGTTCGCTCACTGTCAATCATCCTACATGTACCTGTCATCATGTGGCTTTCTAGCAAAACTTTAGTCAGAACCCTTGAATGGTATGTGCATATGGAACGTAATCTTCAAGCAAACATATAATTGTTGAATCTCAATGGTTAATGCATGGTAATAGCAGCGTAATATTGTGTTGCACTTCAGTAAATGAGTCCATTGTCATCCAATCGCCAGAAGTAGTTTTCAACTGATGTTAAGGTATAAGCATTCTTTTGTTTATGATAGGTGCTCGTTATGATGTTGATGTGGTCTGTTAATGACAGGTGCTCGTTGTGACGGTGGTGGGGTCTGTTAATGACAGATGCTCGTTGTGATGTTGATGTGGTCTGTTAATGACAGGTGCTCGTTGTGACGGTGGTGTGGTCAGTTAATGACAATTGTTTGTTTTGATGGTGGTGTGGTCTGTTAATGACAGGTGCTCGTTATGATGGTGGTGTGGTGAGAACCAGTCCAACAAGTGATTCCTTCAGGACATTGAGGCGAAGCACCAGTGGAGTGTGGGGTCTAACTGGGGAACAGGAATGGTCACCGTTTATTAAAACAGGTATGTTGCTTGATGTCAATAGGAATAAAAGAAAAACTTTTGAATATTTAATGTACATGTACATATATAGAAATACAAAATCTTTTCGATGTCCTCACATCAACAAGTTTTTTGTGCTTTTGTTAACTTCAAAAGTGTTCCTTTTTGGAGTGTTTGAGTTTGCATTTTTGTCAAATTATCGAATAAATGAAATAGATTTATATTTTTTCCAGGAATGGACTGGAAGTCATTGACAGCCACTGCTTGTTTTCCTATCACCACCGACTTCTATCCAGACAGTGTGACTGTTGAGAAACAGTTTATGGAGAATAACTATGAGCTCCTTGCTGATGACCATGATGATGTAACAGGTGGACAGAAACGAACAGGAGAGGGAATCTTCCAAGAAATCATCTCACAGCGACTGATGCAGGTTGGTAGCCTGCCCCCCAAACAAAGCTGGATTCAATGCTTGCAAACAGCCAAGTTTGATGATTGCAAAAATACTAATACGTTTCTTGGCCCAGATTTGAATTGGGATACATTTGAAGTATATGTTGGCAGCCAGTGAATAGTTGCTCTCAAAGACTAATTGTCAAAATTCAAAGAGAAATGATTTTTCTTGTCATTTTTCTTGTCATACAGGGATTTCAAATGGTTGTGGTTCCAAAGTCCATTTTATCCATTGTTCAAGGTCGACGAAGTAAGGACATCCTTGTCACAGATCCAAACAAGGTCAGTTTTTATATTTTTGTGATGCTTGTTTCAAGTAGAATGTTTTATAGAAGTCTGTGGAGTATTTATGGGAGAGCTATCCATTAGGTGTCAGCTCAGTGTATTTTTTTCCATTCTTTAAATTAGCAAAATGTTAGAGTTTCTATTGAACAATATAAACCAGGAATATTTCTTGGGATTTTACTTTAATGCATTCCACTTCTTTTCTTTTCTATCATGGTTACATTTGTTGGGGATGGAGGGACGGAGAATAATGTGTGAGGTTTTAAAATTATATTTGCAATTATTTTTCAAATGTTTGATTTGTTTATTTATGACTGAGTTGTCTACTTTCCACCATCTTGTGCTTTTCTTGAATGAGTTGTTTCTTATTCCATCATCACTGTCTCCTCATTAACGATTTGGTAGTTCTTTCTGTGACTACTGTCTGTATTCCAGTAACCTGTATGTACACTGGTTATTTTTTTCCTTCCAGCATGAGTATGTTCTCAGCATTGGTCGTATTTTTCACAAGTTGGTACTTCATCTTCACCAAAGAGCTATCTCAGTCACTGTGTACAAACCCAGGTAAGGCAACACCTGACAATACAAGCTAATGATACAGCAAGCTAGACAAAGACTAACTCCTCTCCTATAGAATATATAATGCTGATTGTGTTCAGTATTAATAGGCAAAGAGGAAAGATGGTAGGATCTTGTAGTTGATAGTTCCTCATCTCTCAGTAATGATGAGAGGGTTTCAAATCAAACATTTTAAGTCAAAAGAGAGAAATAATCACTGACTAATGTCCGTTTATCGACAAAATTCACATAGGGAAAGAGAAAGTTACAGTGTTTACTGTGATCATATCATGAATGTTATCGTAAACCATTCAAAATAAATTGGAAAGGGTTAAGAGTTGCATCTCTTGTAACTCTATTTAATTAACCTTAACTCCCTATGGTGTATGTAAAATCATATTGAAATCAGAGGATTTGGGACTGTTAGGTCTATTACTTCAAGCAGATTACAGTAGCAATAGTGAGTCTAGCTGTGAACATTTTTCTGTAAAATTTGGATTTCTTCCTTGCCCATGTTTGCAGACATCTGAATATTTCACATCCGGTGTACTACACCTACCAGTTATGGTCTGCTCACAACTCCAGCTATCAACCATCCAGTGTTAGTTTCCAACCATACATGCTGGAAAACTTTAATTGGAACTATCTGGATAACTACGTGTCTTCAAAGGGAGTAGACTTTGGCCCCATAGAGGTTAGTTCATGTACTGTACTTTCTATTGCCACAAATGGCAATCTGAAACGTCCCAGAAGGTGTATTGTAAATATTGGCAGGTTTGCAGGTGGGCAGGTTAGATGAGGTTTACATGTTGTCAGGCTAACGTGTGACATCCCGACTTTTCCCCAACAGCAGGTTAGTTGGCTCTCTGTCTAACTCTTACGATGGCTGGTAGACTTGCCTTTGCCTCTCAGACTTGTTATTGGCATTGCATACTCATATCTTTCAACAGCTGGTGAGAACTATAAAGAATGCTCACTCAGAGAAACTAAAACGTGACCCTCCAAAAGCTTACATCTGAGTGCTCTATTTATAAACATTGGAAAAGAGATTTGATCTATACCCTTTAGTGAGACTGTTTTTTCTTCCTATTTTAGTCACTGAAGTTGTGGCGAAGCAGGTTTCTCCTTCTACCAGCTCTTTGCTCTAAGAAGAAGCGTGTCCTGGAAGACCCTGCCGCTGACTTGGACATCTTCCCTGAGATGGTGAGTGCAGAGGAAGCCTATCAACTACATGAAGGATTCATCAAGTTCTTGGAGACATTGAACAGGCTGCGTAGACATCACAGTGGAGGCAGAAGGACCAAGGTACTCAGTTGTAGAAAACCCACATCTTAACTATCTTACATTTGTTTTAAATATCTGTAACTCTTCATCCCATAACCAGGTTGAGATTACCAGGAAAACTTCTCAAATAATTGACATTACTAGAGAAATTTTGACATACAGGTCTTCAATGCAATTTCCACAACTCGAGAACTGCCAAAACATTCTGTGCACAAAATTAAACTAAACCTTGATTCAGTTTTAAGGCACTTAAATAGCCAAACCACCTGTTACAGACTGTTGTGGAGTGCTGGGTTATGATTACTATTCAACTGACAATTTTCTTTCGACATAGAATTGTCAGAAATATTCAGAGTACTACCACATATTCTATTGAAATGCTTATTTGTGTTGCTTACTAATCAAACATATTTTTTGAGATTGTACATAATTTTAAATATTCCACAAATGACTTTTTAGTCTCAAATTTATAGCTGTTCTTTGATAGAATTTCAGTTCTTTTTCTCTAACACCAGTATCTGAATTTGAAGATGCGGAAAGCATTGGGTAGAAGTAATTTTGCAACAACAGATAAAATTTCACATTCAGATGTTTTGTAATAACCCACAACTGCCAATGTTTAAGAAACTGTAAAGCAAACCTGAAGTTGGTACAGATGGTCTAAGGCAAATCAACCAAGCCTCAAAACTAAATGCTACAACCTTCTGCTCAGTATTTCTAATGGGACTCACAATTTATTTGCTGGACACTGAAAGGTTTGTTAGAAGATCTGTAACCTTTGACTAGCACCCTTTACTTTGCTAATCTTGTTGTCCATTCACATCCCAACAATAGTTGGGTTAAATGTTCAGCAGTTAACATGGTTTCCCTCTTTACAAACCTTCTCACCCTTTTAACTCTGTTCTACTAACACCCTGACCTTTGACCTCTGTTAACATCCATACTAGGCTGGCTCTTTTTCAATTAATCTTGGAACTGTGAAATCTGCTGAGCTTCGTCGGCACTCTGTTGTCACCACTCATGGTCACTCCAGGAAGAGTAGCGATGGTAGCCTAAAGGTACTAATCTATAGGACATTTAACAGCTTAGGTAACATTGGTTTTAAGTGCCAGCAAACTCAAGTACAATTTGGCTTTCTAGTCTAGCTTACTAGTATTCATCAACGAGCTTTAGTATCAGTGAGTGTTAGTCACTAATGAGTAAAGATTCATATATCTTTGAGTACTTATGATGAGTAACTACAAGTACTAAATACATCCAAGTACCAAAACATTTATTTACTCATAGTGTACCTGGTAGGTTCATATACCAATGCGTTTGGGTAATACTTCAGCTACCAAAAGTTAAGGTAGCAGACAAGTGCACCACTACATTAGGATACTGTTTAGTGAAGGTTCTTGTTTGTTAATTTAGATACTGACGTGTTCAGACACTCGAGACCTTTGGCTACTAAAGATTGTGGGAACTATCAAGTTTCTGTACTAATACCATTAATTGGTGTTGCTGAGTGTAGATACATTTGCAAATGAATTCAGAATACAAGTGAGTTTAGATGCCCATGAATTGAGATACCATTGAGTAGAAGTGTCACTGAGGGCAAGTACCATTGAATTCAGGTGCCTAGTTCCCCCACATTTAGGTACTAAAAGTTTATTTTGGGGGAAAATGATTTCTCTTTTGTTTTGAGAGATCCCTCATTTTTGATCTTGCCCCATCCTCTGAAACAAGTCTTAACGATCTCTTGAGTAACAAAGACATGGTATTGCCTTATGAAAGCTTTAGTGGCTGATGAATATGTTTTCTTGAATCAACCGGGTGAATTTTGGAGTTACATGCAATTAAATATATGTCATTCAAGCTTTCTGTTTTTTCTGTAAATTTCACTCCGCAAGATTACCCTTCACTTTAAGATGTAATGGCTCAATGTGTAATAAATCATTAAAAGTTCTTTGACAAAACTTTAAAATGTAACAGGATCTTAAATAAGATGGCTGTAAGTAATGAAAGACACAGTGGAATGTGGTAAGCAGTGTCTCTGTGAAACTCTGTCCTTTGGGGAGCAAATCAAAATGCATGGAATCTTTCATCATAGTGTAATTTGACAACCAGAGATAGAAGCCATTTACTGTGGTCACACAATACTCATGGGTAGGTAGTACACACACGTTATATTTCTCTTTCACGAATAGGGTGTCGTAATGTTCCAAATGCCCACGCGTGTCAAGCTGGAGAAAGGACGTGTGAGTGCAATGTCACTGCAGTTATGGAGTCTAATCAGATTAGTCCATACCATACCCTGCTCTGAATGCTCACAAGGGGGTTGTCTCTGCATGTGGATGTGAACTTTTTAACATTCTGTTCCAGCTATTCCTAGAAGGAGCAGTCTGAACGATTTTAACCTAATCCTCTGAAAAGCTTCTTATAGCGTCCATTTCTCGACCATCTTTTATCCCAGGGGCTGATTTCTGCCATGGCAAATCTTACCCCAAGCAGGCAACCGTCTGCCAGCACCCATCCCTCATCCAATCCTCCCTCTCAAATCTCTGGGCCAACCTCTACTGACTTGGGTACCCCTCCTAGAAGCCTGAAGGAAGAAACAGAAGATAGTGAGACAGAGAAGGATGGAGAATGGGAAGAGAGGAGCAAACTAACACTTCTGACACCACTTTGGGAGATTGCTAAGGCCATGGGAGATCAACAGTAAGATGCTTCTTAGCTCATGACTTCTACATGTACCTGATTCATATTACTGTCTTTGAGGTTGTCATTTTGGCTTCTGTCCTGCTTGAGTGTTGTACAAACCTGCACGTTTTGCTATCGTAAGGGAAGCAACAATCTGTGGAATAGTTGACATAGTTTAGTCCCTTTTGTTGAGCTTTTAGCCATCTGTGGGTCTACTACCAAACTCCCTCTAGTGAATGAATCAATAGATGTATTTATAAAGAGGTTGTAGTGACACCAGGATATGAACAGTGGACCTTTAAGTTGCCAGTCCAATGCATTACAGAAAAGGATAGCCACAATAATATTTCTTTGATACAATTTTTCTGCAACCTTATACTTTTCTTCAGCGTATAAAATCAATTTGACATTCCTTCTGGTTTAAATATATGTACAAAACATTTAAAATTGCCCATGCTTTTCCTGGACAACTTAGGGCGCTGTTGAAGGGAAGACATGGCTCAGGGCATAGGTTTTTCTGTTGACATTGTGAGATCAGATTTTTTTGGAGAAAGGATTGCCTGCTTATTGCAGTGTACATGTACGTGTTCTTCATCAAGGAAAAGAAAACTTCTTGCGCTGACATCTATATAGAATGGGCATTTTCTGTGCAAAAACCAGTGTAACATTGAGGTTTTCTTTCTGGACCACATCAGTGAGAGTTTTCTTCATGAATATTGAAATGTTCATTAGCATGAAAACTAAAAAGGTAGTTACAAGGTAACAATGAAAACATAGGTAACTGAAACCAAAAGGTGCCTTGTGTAACTTTCTCTTTAAAAATTGAATTGAAGAGACTAATGAAATATTGGGACTTTATACATCCCAAATGTTTCACAAATAAGGTTTGTACTAGGACTTTTGTCAGGACCATTAAGATATGTCGTAGAAACACCACCTTTTATTGACATGCCTTTCATTCAAAAATTAAATTTTTCCTTCTCTTCTCCTTCCCTTGTCTTCTCCAGAAGCGGTGTACCGTTTCTCCCCTTAGATCAGAGAAAGCTACCATCCAATTGTTTTGTAGCCAATGAGGCTGTGCACTGGCTAATAACTAATCTCCAAGGAGATGTAACACAAGATGAAGCTGTTGAAATACTTCAGGTTAGCAAGAAATCCTCTCATAGACTTGTTATCAGTACACCTTGATTGGTACGAATGCCTAACATTGTATGTGTAGAATGTTTACCTAGTAGGCAATGCATGAACATGAAGGAATGAACAGTAAGAGATCTCACTTGGGAAACTCGATCATCAAGCTGAGTATGTACAATAATTGACTGGATTGGATTTTTGAACTCAAAATCCTTCTCATCGTGCTTGAGGAGTTGTGATTTTCTTAACGAATACATTTCTTGTAACTTTTAGAATGTGACTGCAGAAGGCTTGATATGCCATGCTTCAGGCAACCCCAATCACCCCTTCTGGAATGGTTTTTACTTGTATTACATGGTCAAAGAGGAAACCCATGTTAAAGGTTTGTTGACTTTGTTTCGTGAACTGCAGAATTATTGAAGCTGAATATTTTTGATGCCGTCCCTGTTTAGTTTGTAACGTTTCCAGTATATAAACAAAGAGTAAAGAGCATATCTGTTTATTTTGTTTAATATCACAATATTCCTAATTCCTCATGTGCACTGTAATGACCCTATTTTTCTACTGGTAATATTAATCATTTACATGTATCTGCTGCTGCCAGATAAGGCCAGAAAATCTCCATCTAGACACAGCTCAACATCCAGTAGTCACCATGGCAACAGTCACTCAGCAACAAACAACTTCCACAATGAGTGGTTTGAGGTAGCTGTCTGCAGCCCCCCTGCACCACCTTTGACCTCTGGTCAGTCCAATATCCCACAATTCCTGCTACCTGTCCTGCCACGCCCAGTCTCTCCGGCAACGTCAATCATGTCTAACTTTGTTGCTACGATGCAAGATGCAAGGCTTGACACTGAGGCTACTGAAGAGACAAATCCTGAAGGTGAGAATTATAGACATATGAAGACACACTACACAGAGATGCTTATAGAAAATATCAGATGTACCAATTAACATTCACTTGGTTTATCACAAATCATCAAAATATAGTAAGCCGGTGTAGGTTTTTACAGTTTTGTCACATCTGTAACATTTTGTCAACATGCACATACCGTCACTAATGCTCTTTTTCCGCACTCTTTAACACGTCTTCTCATACCTCTTTGCACTTTTTCCTTACTCTTTAACAACTCTTCTCATACCTCTTTGCACTTTTTCCGCACTCTTTAACAACTCTTCTCATACCTCTTTGCTCTTTTTCCGCACTCTTTAACACCTCTTCTCATACCTCTTTGCTCTTTTTCCGCACTCTTTAACACCTCTTCTCATACCTCTTTGCTCTTTTTCCGCACTCTTTAACACCTCTTCTCATACCTCTTTGCACTTTCCTTTGTTTCACTTTTGACCCCTATTATGCTCTGGTTGTTCCCACTTTGTACCCCCTCGCTCCTTACATTGTATCCTTTGTGACCCTGCTTGTGCCCTCATACCATTCGTTTACCCCCATACCACTTTCCATGTACCCTTCTTATAACCCTCTCTAGCATGCTTAACCCCTCTCATTCACCCTCTGTCAACCCAGTCTACCTCTGACACCCACCTGTTATATCTTTCCTTATGTAGTCCTCAAACCAGCATCATTGAGGAGCTTACTATTTGACAACTACACAGTGAAGACAGACCGTGTAGAATGGTGTCATATCAACTATAATGGCTGTTATTGTGTGGATGAAGCTTGGGGCTTTCAAGTGGAGTGGTTGGTATCCACACCAAGTCTCCTGGTAGAAGTGGTATGTTCACGTACATGTCCCTCTCCGTTGTCAGTTTTCACTTTGAATTTCACTCTTCTGGATGATTGTTTGCCCGCTGATTTTGCATTTCCGCTTTTCTTGCAAAGAACATTGGCATGAAGCCATGGAGGTTTCGTATCAACCCACATCCTGCTTCCCGGTAGTGCTTAATAGAGACTTGTAAAAAGCAGTCAAATAGCAACCAACATACAGTGTTATATATGCGTATTGTCAACTTTGCCAGGGCAAAGACTACTGAGGTATACTTTTTTTTTTTTCCAAAATGATTACTTTTTCAAGAACATTTGGTCTGTATGTTGATTTTCTCTGTCATATGTCAAAGCCCTATACAACGTATATCAAATGAATGCAATGACATATAAACCTTTGGGTGTAATTTTGAGTATGGGTTTTGCCCTTACACTGACGTATATTCATAACACTTTATACTCAGGCAAAACCTGTACTTCAAATTCTCATGTTCCTGACCCAAAGTACATATTGAAATTTGGTTGTAACATTATTTCCAAATTTGTGATTGTGTGAGATAACGCTTCTTTTCTGTTGTCCACGAGATGACCCTTCCTTTGTACATGTACTTGCTACTACATATACTTCTCACGTTTCTTTTGCTAATACATGTTTCACTGGCTATCTACTTCTGAACATTTTTCCCTTCTGTTTCAGCTCCAAGGATGGGCTCGTAAAGCTGTCCAGTGTGGTTTCCATCTTGTTCCTGCTCCTATGGATGCCTTTAACCAGTGTCCTCACTTCAATAATCCCCTTGCCTGTCCTCGGTTCATCCCTCTCAACATACAGTGTCTCCTACCAGACCAAGGTCAAAGGTTATTTGAGGGGTTTGACCCCAGCAGTCAGGAGAGGAGAGTGTATTTATTTCAGGAGACCATACTAAAAAGGCATGTTTCATTATTTGAATATTGTTGAATTGCAGCATATGACTGATTTCTATAACGATCACTGCTTATGCTATGTAGACGAAGAACATTTGGAATCAAATTGTTTCATGATATTTCCAATGAAATTCTGTTGGAGTCAAGATACTGCAGGGTGTAGGCAGAAAATGATGTTTGATGTGCCAGTCATGACTATTGAAACATTTCACCAGTGGTTAGAGTAAGTTCTGAATTTAAATACAGTGCCACCTTTGGTACTGACAATTTGCTCTGTTGTTATATCAGCGCTATTACCTGCTAACCTTGAGTACGTTTACAAGACTATCACATCTTACATTGAAATTCTTCCATAATCTCTGTCCTATTTACAGGTTTGGTTTCATCAAGGCCACTGAACCATTCCATCTCACCCCCATCACATCCCAGCATTCTAACCAAGACCAAACCCAGTACGTTCACATGACTGGCATGGCGCTCATCCTCATTGTCCCATCAACCAATCAGGACACAACGTTCTGGGACGACCCTTTGCCCATTTGCCACAAGTCATACAGGAACAGTCCAATGGACCAAGAGGGAGCAGGGACCACCATCAAAAGAGAATGCAGTCAGAAAAGGATGCCCACTCTGAAACAGGTAGCCAGTCATGAACGAATACCAAATTTGGTGGCAGAAGTGGGATTCTTGTGGGTACCCAACTACCTGCTGACCAAACGGTGGCGTACAAGTTCCTGTGGAGATGAAAAGTTACAAGAGAGACTGCTGCAGGATTTCACCAGCTTCTGTGAGAATGGTAATGATCGATTGAAGGACTTTTGGGAGAAAAGTCACAAGGTTTTCCAACTTGGAAATAAAGAGTAGAAATTATCTTGTAAACATTTGCCAACTGGAATGAAACCATCTCACAAAGCCATCTTGAAGCAAATCACTTTCCAAACAGATGAAAAGAATGACTGCTGAAAACCAGTGCTTTAGATTTGTTTCAGTAAATTTCTAAAGAAAGTATTAAATAGGATTATTTGTATAAAGCTGCCAGTCTTGGCTGTTTCTAAATGTAATTTTTTAAGCATAAAAATTCCATGATGTCCAAAGACAGATAACCCAGTATTTTTGCTCATAATTTTTGCCAACATTTGAACTCTATGCAATTCACCAATAAGCATTCCTCGTTCAATTTAATCCTGACGATTGGACTTTTCCAGGCACCGTGTTTCAAATCCATATTTTTATAACATTTGGAACAGTAATGTGATTTTGTACAAAGCTTAAAATCAGTATTTACCGTGTGAATCAGAACCCATCATAAAGAAATGAGCGTCCAAGTCTCATTGTTTAAAATGATTTGAGAACCAATACTATCCCATTCTATGGAACTAATGTACTTCTTATGCCTATGTAGTCCTGAGCTTTGATGTATATTGTGCCAAAATTAACACTTATTTGTCATGCCAGGTGTGGTGCTTGGGAAATGTAGTCTGAAGATTCTTTTCTTAAGATAAATAAAGTGAAATATGAATATGTAGATGTGAAAGCTGTCTTTGTACAATCTCTGCTAATCTGTGCATGAATTTTTTGTAGATTTGTTTTGATATAATTAATTTTTCATTAAGGTTTCTAATAAATTATAATAGTTTCTATTGATTTATATCCATGTTATATATAGTTTTGCTTTCAAACAGTAATTAGGTTTCCGAATCGATATTTGTAGCGTTTATGTATACGCACTGCGCATTGATTTACACCCACTGCTTTAAAATAAATTTTGAACTTCTAATTTTATTCATTCTAGAAGAAAATCTCCCTAAAAGGGATTGTTCATAATACCCTCATATTCTCTTCTTCTTATGTTCTCTTTTGAGGTTATTTTCTTCTTTTTTAATCTCTATATAATCAATTTTTGTTATACCAAAGATAGTTTATGTATCCAGTGTTGATACTATATTTGAAAGTGAATATTTGAAGGTAGCCCTACCACGGAAGCCTTGATATTTTGCTTGTCTTATGTATGTGCAATGTGGAACAACAGTTGTCTGTTTGCTTTTGCTGATAAATTGAAGTCTTTTGAATTACTCAAAACAGAGAATTGCAAGTGAATTTCTCGATTAAAAGAAATATTGTTTCATATGACCTACAAATTGAATCAAGATGTCTGATATCGATACATTTGTGGTGAACGTACTTCTATGAAAGTTTAATTCCTTTTATTGATTTATGCTCAGCAACGAGCGTTTCCATCAGAAATGATCGCCAATAACCCTTAGTTTCTAATTCTGTATTTGGTGCTGATTTGAATTCAAAGTAAGACCGCGCCAAAGAAAAAAATCATGTGACAACTACTATTTTTGTTCTGTTAGTAACTTTTTTCCGAACTATATTTCGAGAGTAAACTCCGATAAGTGACAGAACTGCTTTCCATGAAGACCTTCAGATTTATATTTCGAGTCGAAGGCTCACAAGGGCGCCTCAGGCAGCCGCCAAACGGCCTACATCTGGAGAGAGGAGACAATAAGAAGCAGTGACAGTTTTAGAGGTGGGAGGAAAACCCCCAGAGGAATATTCTAGGTAAAACCCACAGAATCAGGTAGGAACTGAAAGCCGAATCTAGATGGAGACCGGGCCAGGAATCGAACCCGGGACCACAAAGGTGAAAGGTGAGGAAAGAACTACGCCAACTTAATTCTCTGTTCAGTGATATACAGTGGTATCCATACGGTAGTTGAAAGACCATGCTAAGACCACTTTTAAGGAAAAAGACCAACTGAAAACGCAATTAAAATATGTGCGCAATTTGTCTATATAATTATTTAGTGCAAGCTAATGTACCAACGAATTCTTCAATTGACTGATTTTTTCCTAAATATGACCTCCCTGAAGTTTGTCGCTACCTTAGTACAATGGCACATTCAGTTTGACATGGCGTTGAGTGTCTCATATCAAATCCAAGACGAAATTGCCTTTGTTCTTGGAAGTTTATCGCTGCTTTTCCGACGATAGTAAAATGTGTGAAAGTTCACCCAATAGACATCGTTTCAACATTTAAACCCTGAAAAAAACTGAAAGAAGTTGACACTCCAAGGAAGTAAGAATTTCATGTGTAAACAATCTCACTTCCCTCCATCCTTTTCCCCAAATAACCCCGGAATCGCATTCAAGGATGTTTGTTATATGACAGGTATTGGGAATTTCCCTACAAAGTGAAAGTTTAACTGAAAGAGCTGTTCCGGATGTTTCCATAAACTTGCGTTGAACAATAACTGGGCAGTTCATGGCTTGGAAGGCCTATAAAACGGTTTCACAGTCAGGTGTCGGATAAGAAAGTGGAGTGAAATAAAGTGGGAGACATCAATGATCGTGACATCAGCGAGATATTGGTCACTGAAAAAGTATAAAAACGGACACTGGCACTTGAGTTTTGTTAAACACGATGAAGAAAGTCACCAAGCTGTACTCTCCTGAAGGAAAGGATTTCAAAGGTGAGTTGATCTTGGGAGAACAAAGGAGCCATTGCATCCATGACGTAATTAGATCCACTTTTGCTACGTGGTGCTATAAGCACTTTCTGACCACTTCAATTACTTTGTAAGCAAATGCTTTTGTAAGATTTATTTCATTTTCAACTAATTTTTATTTGTGATGTACACAAATGCTATAAAGTAAACAATGTAATCAAGGAAAGAGCGTCCCGATCTCTGACTTTGAAGTGCACCACTGCAACAACCATCAAAAGGTGTAAATGAATCAACATTTAAACATTGGTTTTCTCAAATTAGGAATCAATAAACAACTAATCTGAAATATGAATCAAGTGCGGGCCTATTTCCCCTATTTTTATATCCAAAGTTTTCAAAAACTTCACTCTGGATTGGCAAACATTTTTCATTAATGCGCACAATTAATTTGCTTCTCCATGTTAAAAACTGTGTGGATATTGAGGCGTTGAGAATCAGGTGCTCGTTTGTCATGACTTGTGACAAGATGCTATCTCATTTGAATGCGACAGGCGTAACTGTAGGCAATAAATAACACAGTGATGATGCTGTTTTTTGGGTAGCTGAACTTCATAGTGCAATAATATCAACCGGCACTCGTTTCCTGAAAAACAAAGACAACACTAAATTCCGTTACAGGTCCATTTGGGCATGGAATCCGGGTTGTTGAATTGTCTGATAGGCTTTCTTTTTGTTCCTTGGTTATCCCGAACAATACAGTGCATCGTGTGGATAAAATCCAGTAGAACAGTATCTCGTATGGTGAATAAGTATTCTACACCAACCTGTGTCTAATAAATTATTGATGTCATCACCTTAATAATATTGATCAAGGTAACCCATTTTAATGATTTGATATTTTATACGAATCCTCCAAAATCATGTAGTTAAGCCCTTCGGGGGGTGGCTTTATATTTAAGGATTAGGAAGGTGTATTGAATCGGTAAATAAAGTACGACAACTACAAAAGAACAATTTTTAGAACCAAGATTCAGTTCCTGTACACCATACTAAACTAAGAGGTCAATAATGATAACTTTCTTACACGCAAAACCCATTTCGAGGTTTGGCATTATTTATTGCTGTTTGTGAATAAATGCTTCCTTTTTACCCAAATGAACTTATCGTACGTTATTTACTTCGTACATCAACAGTAAAAGTCAAGGGATTATCAAGTGTCCCAAGGGCTCAAGATGACAGTGACATGCAATCAAACAACGATGCCGAGGCACCCCAACCTGGTTATCGATACTTTACACCTCAGCCTGACCGTAAGAGACCTCTTCTCCCCCCGGTGCCTAGTACTTCAACACCTGCTGTCCATCCAAAGATCAGAGAGGATGATGCTCAGCAGAGCATTAAAGAATCTTTCTCAAAGGCCACAGCACTTGTTGACACCAATAAAGGTGAGTTCGTCTCCAACCCTCACTACGACACATATGCTATCTTATAGACAAAGTTTGCACACCATTGACTGATTTATTAATTGATTTTAGTGTACAGAATAATTACTCATCCTTTTACTTACTGCCTTCCACCAATTTTGTTTCAGGTAAAAAAAGCAACGCTGGTCTCCTTCCTCCTTCCTTGAATCCAGAGCACCGTCCAGGCACTCGACCCCAGTTCCTAACACCTCAACCAACTCGCCATAATTCCAACCTAGTCGACCGGACTCCATCCGTCAACGATGGCTCTCCTGTTGGCCCTGACGCCCGTCCAGCTCTGAAGAATGAACACCTCACTTTTCTTAACAGTTCGGATAGCCCCGATCTATCCCGTTCACCTAGCCCCCATACCCCAATAAGCCCCCTGGCAGCACCTGCACACAAAACCAAAAAGACTGCTTCTCAACACAGCTTAGACTCTGGGCTTACGACAGAATCTTCCCCGTCTCCGTCTCCCAACATCCCGGTAAGTCCCCAAGCCAGATTTGTAACGAGCTTAAAGGTATGAACTCAGGGGACTAGACTAAGTTGGAGCAGGAGATACAGACGAGATTTGAAAGAGAAAAACACTGAACTTCATCTGCCAAATCATGTCATAATAATAAATTTGAGTTTGCCAAAGAGACAAGAGTACAGAGGACTTGTGATTACTGGCATGATAACTGAACTTATGGAAAAGTTATCTGTTACAAAATGATTGAGAATGGTGTTAAAACAAAGTTCCCAAGCATTATCTGCTATTGTGATTGGGAAAATATCCAAGAATCCATTCAACTACAACGTAGAAATGGGTAGTAGCAATTGCTTCAGATGTGTCATTTACTTTTAAGAACTTGGCCCAAAAGATTTACTTACACACCTCGTAAAAATACTACTTGATTTATGGTAAAAATGCCCAAATGTTAATGTTGTCTAGTAACTATATATAGCTTTGTTTTCAAAAGCGCATTTTGGTGTTGCTCTCAACAGGGATCTTGAGATTATTACTTAAAACATTTTTATTACCCTTGAACTGTACAAACAGTTATAAGTTTTTCAATGGCTACCCGAGGGAAAACTTAATCAGATGCGTTCATTGTCGTCGCGTTGAAATCATCCTTATTGTTTGTGTTTCCTTTCTTTTCAGTTTCTCAAAGAAATCTTCCTGAGTGACCGTAAATCACACCGTAAGCTTAAGAGGATCGTCGGCGCTCTGACCGGCCTAGTCCTTGGCGGGTTCCTGTTTCTCGGACTCTACTTTGGACTAGAATACAGCCTCGTCGCTTCCATCGTCATGACCATCATGGCAACGATCATCATGTCTCTGACACTTGCGTTTAGTGGTGAGCACAATTCTTAGTCTCCTCTCGAGTAAAATGTCCTACCTTTTGCTTGCTGGTGAATGCTGATCTCTGTTACATTGTTAAAGATGTTCAAAGCATGATGATCACGCATTTACCCGTATGCGCAATCGTTTGCACGTTCGTCTGACCCATAGGTCTCAAATTTTCTTTCTAAGTAAGAAATGTCAGCATAGCCGTCTTTAGTATGAGGCCTTGGGTACTCACTTGTACTCAATGAACTCATTAAAAGTAGGCATTTTTGCCCAACAAGAACCAAGATCATAACACCAGATCACAATTGTGTGAGAGACACGTCCATGGGAAACGGTTGCAGCGGTTTGACAGTGGTTTTCATAGTCTCATGCATTTCTAACCGCATCCCGTAACGTTCTGACGCACTGTGGACTTTCTATGGAGGCCGGGGGGGCACCAGTTGAAGTGTGAGGACATCAGTTTATGTACTACGACCATAATGTTATCACAATAAACTGGGAAAGTTCACTGAATTTAACTTTGATGATTTACAGTTTCACGCACACACGGTCGATTACACAAGGTTTCCTTAATACAATAAGGAATAACCAGTACAAAAGTGTTTGCAGGCAAGACATCACTAAAAGACCAGGCACAAAACCTGTTACAAATGACAGCGAGAAAAGGAGATCTTTGTTGCAGTTCATCTCTGAATAGTTTGTTACTTGAATCCACTCTTATAGGGTCTTGTGATGTTCTTGAGATGGTCGTAAGGAGTCTCAACTAAAGCACGAATGCAGTCCGAATTCTGTGCTCTCTGCATTGCAAAACAGATGAAAATTAAGAAATTTAAATTACAGTCTGTTTTAAGTGAAACTGAGAAAGCATTAAATTTTGTTGATTTTGTTCTTCAGTTCGAGCCCGTTGTGTAGCGGCCTTGATGATTCCTACATTATGTACCTCAAGAGGGCGGGCTGCATTCCTTGCGATCATTGTAACCTTACTTCTGACTGGTCCGATCGGTAACATCTACACTAACGCTAAAGTGACGTCCAATTCGTTGAGTTGTAGTGCAGAGGTAAGCAGTGTGAAAACTCTTAATCGATTTAAAATTAGACTTTCACTCAGTCCTCTGGGATCACATGCGTCAAGCGGCACAAAGTAATCTGGTGTTTAGGTGTCGGGTACACCGTCGCAGGTATAATGTACATTTATGCAACCTTTGTGACTTGATGAAAGCTCAGTTTATAGCATTTACCTTAATATTTTTGTTGCCAGCTGGCACAGAACCAGACTCTACTCATTAGAGATGTCGCCAGGGAAATATTCGATGTGTACGTCCAGACCCTCATGGACAGCGTAAGAAATTTGCAGGAAGCCTCGGCGACTTTTCAAGATGCCTTTCAGCCGGTGGAAAACGCCCTCAACGAATTCTTGGAAACTCTTGGAGTGAGTGAAATACACACGATCTGAAAAGATATGCGAAAGTTTCTTTGGGATAAACCTAGAAAGGGCCAAACCAATTTCACTGTTTCTGAATTCTCAATAACATATGAATGAAATAAACACAGTCCAACACCAACAGAATTTAAGATTCTGTACAATGACACGTAAGCTGTTGCTAAATAAATTTTAAGTCTATTTGTTAACTTTTTGATTTAATTTCTCATAGGGAAGATATGAATTTGAATATTGTTTTACCCTTCGTAAGTGTGTCTTCAATGAGTATCGTTTTGTCATTTGTTCTCAGAACGCTAAAGAGACAGTTAGAGATACCGCTAGTCGGTGTGAACAAGTAATCAACAGAGCTTATGAAGATTGCATTCAAGCATCAAACGATGGATACAGAGGCTGCAGGAACTCCTTAGGTCGAGTGCCAAACTTTGGAAACGCTCGATTAAGTAAGTCTCTCAAAGAATTGTGGCAACAGTCAATGGAATATTGATGAACAGAACTTTTAACAACGCCTGACGAATATTTTGTTGATGAATATACTCTCTTAATTGAAAGATTGAAATTAGGGACAAGACGTTTAAGAGTGAAAATCACTCTGATTTTAGACCGAAAAAGGCTGAAAATAGCCCCTTCCGGTGGAAGCTCGAGTGAAATTTTAATCTTTTGGAGTGACAAAATTTCACTCCAATTCGTCTGGTCCTTAATTTCCATCGGAGGGACTGAATTTTCACTCGAATAGAGTGAAATTCCACTCTTTGGGATTTAGAAAGTAATCATGCTGGGTATCTATAGGTGAATTACAATCAGTGCACTATTTTTGAGCAATTTGCTCGTTAAGTGTAAAGTTAAACTGTAGTTGACATTGCAGCTGTTGTTTTGTGCAACTCAATTTATGAGGCGTGCATTCGTACATTGCTGTCGGCATGTAGCATATTTGGGATAATTTAAGAAACAGTTGAGCTTTAAAATTAGGATAGTGCTAAATAGGATTTTCCTCCGTTTTTTTCCAGATGAAGCTTGTAACAGTTTTAATAACTTCCGACAGGAAGTCTGTGACAACTTAGGAAACACCGATGTCGTTTGCGAAGTTCCAACATTTGTTGATAATCTGTTGGACAGAGCCGACAGGGTCATTCAGAAAGCTCTGAATGACATCCTCCAACTGTTCAATACTGACGTGGACTTCGAATCCTACTGGGAGAATCGACTTAATCAGAGTCAGACCTTCGATTCCATCCAGGCTGCCATCCAGCAAGAACTGGAAGACTCTTTCTCTTTCCTGAATTTGGCCTTTGCTGTAATCGATAAGATCCTAGCTCTGTCCATAGTCTTTTTGCTCATTCGATCTTACCAGTATCACAGTAAGTATCACACCAAAGATAACTTTGACAACTGCTACATAACTGAAGAGTTTAAACTCCTGGACGAAAGGCGACAAAAGTCTGGCCTAGAACCGCTTCTGCCCCTGAAGAAATCGGAAAGACGTCAACTGATCAACTCATCTGCGGTGTCGCTTAGCAAGCCAGAGAAAGGTCTCTTCAAGTTGGGTCTTGTGACGGTCCTTCTCCACGCTGTCATCGCAACTATTCTTATCGTAGCCGATCACGGTCTGTTCTGGTTATTGTCGCTTATTTCTCGTCACGGCAGGGTGAGATTTGAGATCTCAGGTGAAGGAGGTACCGATCTGACAATCGGCGGTTCGGGGGTTCTGTCTCCACTTATTCAATCTCTGTTTGTAGCAGGATTTGAGGCTACCAATGAGTTTAATGTTTCACTGGACACGGAGCGCTGCCTGCCTAATCCCGTCCCTCCCAATGAAATCCTTTCAGTAGGAATCGGGGTGCTGTATCTTATTGCGTTAGTCATGGTTCTACTCCAGGCTTATGCCTTGCGCCTGCGACGGAGAATTGCCTCCTATTTCTACCCAGAGAGAGAGCAAGAGAGAATTCAATATCTGTACAACCACACCCTTCAAAGACGACAGAATCTCTTCAAATTGCTGAAGCAGAGAATCAGGGAGACAAAGCATGAGATGGAGGTTAAGCAGAGAGTTAGTTTCATAGCTTACCTTTCAGCAAAGTATCCATTCTGGAGGAGAGTCTTTTGTTGGTTAGGTCAGGAGAAACGGGTGTGTCTAGGCTGTGCAGATGTGGACAATGGGACCTTCAAATCGTGTGGTAATCCTGACTGTAGCGGACTGTACTGCCGTGAATGCCTTCATGAAATTAACAGCACGTGTACGTTATGTCAGGAGATCGTTGCTGGGAGCGACCTGTCAAGAGGGGTTGTTGAGCACAGAGTCTGAACGACCACCTGGAAAGAATCAGTTTGATTGGCTGGATAGCTGACAACGAATGCGATGTAATAAAAAGAACAATCAAGCTAAGATTGTCCTCTTCAAAACCATGTAACCGATAAGCACCACAATAAACATTTTATATTTAAACTTGGCAGGACTTGCTTACACCAGTTAGGGACACACTTCATGACTGTGTCGATAAGTGAGCTATTATGCGCTCATTGTCTCTTATTCAAGGCTTTAAACGAGCAAAATCCGCGTGCAGGAGGGTTTTAAACTTCATAGAAATTTTTACAGAGTAAGATGTGGATGTGCAAAACGCCGACCTTCATAATTTTAATCATCAGCAATGCATGCGTACTCCGTATTGTTATTTCAAACTATAAATTTCTCCCTTTTTCATTACTGCCAACCAAGAAATCTGAGGAATTTCCTGCAGTGTCATGCATTTACTCTCCAATACAGTCCGGGTAAACGCAGTATCATGTTAAATCTACAGTAAAATTGGTTGTAAACTTGTAAAATTATGAAATTGGGAAAATAATAAAAACAATATTATGGTGTGTGTTTGTAGAAGGACTAATAAGTAATACGACTACAACATAGGGTACAAACACAGTACAGTTTCAAATAACTCAAAAACGGAATAGAGTTATGCTGGCGTCTTCTGGTGTCGCAGAGACTTGCTTTTGTTATTTTAATTTAGTTACGACGAATGCCGAAAGGTTTACCAGAGCTGATCCCAGTACTAGTGATACGAAACTCTCAGTGTCCTCGGAGGACGCGTTAACAAATAACCTCAATTACCGTAGTGCTCGAAGCTTATCACTGGTTTACCACTGCTGTTGAAAAATGTGAAAGTTCATTGGAATCTTAAAATAGATGTAAGAGGAGAACAGGAAGGTCTTGTTACTGAGAATGAACGTCAGTAGATTAACCATAAGACGGTTTCTGTCTGCATGCAATCAAGTTATTTGATTTGCAGGTTTTACGTTAAAAAAAGAAAGAAAAACACAAGGTTAAAAAAACCAAGAACATGACGATTAATACTCCTTCTATGAGACCAAACTTCTAAGAAGCATGGAAATCCAGTCTCTTTGGAGTTGTTCGATATGCGTTTAACAAACATGAAAAACGTAAAAAAAAAAAAAAGATGAAAAAATAATAATAATTGTGGGTTGCTTCTCCTTTCATATTGACCATAATTCTGAGAAGCATAGGAAGTTGGTTTCCATAAATGGCCAAACACAGTGGTGTCCAGGAAACGAACCAGCAAAAATTCAACACTGAACTCGCGCTCAGAATAAATAGTTGCAAAATCACTTATAGGGGGCGCTCTTCGATGGAAACGCTGCTCAGTGGATTGACCCGTCTCTGGAAAACCGCCAACAATATTAAAGAAAAAGCGCGTCCTTTCAGCTTGGGCTGTGCACTTGCATGTTTTTACTTTTTCTAGTTCACTCTCCAGCAAAATAGATTTTGTGCTCTTAATCCAATTCGCTGCCCAGAAAGGACAAAAACATCATTATGTTTCTACCGAATCGAATGAAGCGTCACATCGGCATCTTTTCCCGACGGCTAGTAATATACACAATCGTCTGCTATATTCAAAGATTGCTTTTAGTCCTAATGCAAATTTTAATCCGTTTCTTAGCAACTGAACTTGAAACAATTGGCATTGTGAAAATGTTCCAAATAAAAGAAGCATGGGACATGGCTTAATTGTCAAATCTATCTTGTAATTTTGCATTATTACTAGGGCAGTAAAGAGTCAGTGATTTGCTTATCGCATACTGTAAGCAAAACATTTACTCATATCATTAATTCCTCCTTCTTGGCTGGTATTGTTCACTTTCAACGACAAAAAATGGCTGAAGCCAATTTGCTGTAACTTTCTGTATTATTTGTAATGGTTTAACAAATCATGTATTAATTGATTTCGATAATGTGGAAAAATAAATAAACCTTGAAGCCTTGAAATTGGTGAGATGCGTCTCTTTCTGTTGAGTTTAAAAAGTCACATTCCTTACAATTATTTCTTCTGCTATGGAAATGATTCAATGAATTATCTTCCTCCATGGTTACTGATGATTACAAGTCTCACACATTCCCTTATTGAGCCTCTCAAATCGTACTCACACTGACGCATCATTTCATGTTTGTTTTGATCTATGTCAGGTACTTCGAACGTCCCCGAAAAGTGCAGTTTAATCAGAAGCTGTTCCGGAAATGTTTTCATACACTACGTTGAATTATGACTAGGCAGTTCATGGCCTATAAAACGGTTGGACCAGTCTGATGTCAGATAAGAAAAAGGAGTGAAACAAAGTGGAAGACATCAATGATTGTAACTTCAATAAAATATTGATAACTGAGAAAGTACCAAACATAGGCACATACAATTGAGTTGTGTTTCAACGCGAGTAAGAATTCAGGCATGAGGCTATATTATCCTGAAGGGAATGACTTGAAAGGTGAGTTGTATTTGTAAAGCAAATCAATTTGGGAATTGATCTTGGGAGAACAAACTAGTCATTCTTTCCATGACGTACTTGGATCCAACTCGGGGTGGGTGTGTGCTTGGGTGCTTCGTATTATTAAGGGGCTCTGGATAATAGGAGTCATATTAGTAGAAAGTTACACAGAGCTACCTTTATTTAGCTCTCAAGTTCTGAGTGACAGTGGGACGTACTGGAACAACAAGCAGCAGGTACGGATTATCCAAAAGTTACAAAGGGCACTGTGCCAAGGGTCTACCAAAAATGAAGGGACATGTTGAAAGACTGAAAATAACCCTTCGGGGAGTTTACCATGCAATACAAGTGCCAACACTCAAGGGAATGTAAGCAAGAACATTTCAGCGTCTCTCTTGATCTGAATTCTCGGTTCTAGGAGAGCTTCAAACTAGAAAGCTTGAAGGCTTACCTTAGGTAATGCACCATGAACACAAAATGCGAGCCCGCAGCACTGATCAGCTCTAGGGCGGAGCAGGACCTACACTCACTACACCCCTGCACCCATCTATAGGCCTACATCCATTACATAGACAGTGTGGACATTCCGTTGTTTTTGTCCATGTAAGAAATCTCAGTGAAAATTCTAATTCTTCTTGTACTGGGAACAAGATTTTCAGCTGGATTTTTGTAAAATGTTTCCTATTCCATTTAAAGCAAATGACCCTAACGCCAAAATGCCTTTTAATTTATTTTTTCAGAGAAGGGGAAACGTCCTGTGGACATGGATAAGTCCACAGAACGTCTTCCTTTCTTGCATCGCGTGGACATCTTTTATTCACATTAAAGCATTAGCGCACAAATTCCCGCCAGGAAAAGACTGAATCCAGCCAACCCCCTTTTCTTTAGCTGAAAACATCTTACAGTTGGTTGTGCTTCACGGTAGCCGATGTAATTTACATTACTGACAGGCGAGTCAGGTTTAGGCATATTACATCAGGACATCTTTTGCAGAATATTACCTGACATAGCAATACAAATTGTTGTGTAGGGGGACTAGTGCTAGCTGTCTTATCTGTCCTTATTGTATACGCATGACAAGCAATAGTTCTTCCACCATGCACTGTTCCCCAAATGGCTCTTAGGTCGTAGCAGAAGGTCATTGTTCAATTGATGGCCAGTAGCTTCCTATAAACCAATGCCCATGCGCAATACAGTCCCACTCAAACTATCCCAATCGAAGTATTTTGCGAAATCACATCATCGGCTACATTTTGCCTCCGACTCTCGATAACAATAGATGTGTCCTTGCCCTAGTTTCTGTTCCCAAATGGTTGCCAGTCTAATAATGAAAAACCAGTTGTTTTGTGGACGGCAAATGGTAGGCAAATAAGAATATTCCTGTGAAAAATAATATGTAAAGATTACATTTGGATTGATACTCCTTGTCTAGAAACAAAAGGCTTTTTTCTCACCGCAAACTCCTGGTAGCTGCGCCAGAGACCAACTTCCTATTTCTGCCAAACATGACCTTGAGAAAGTAAATAGCAGTTTTGACAAACTTTTTATTATCAGCCGCTAACACCATTGATTTGTGATAGTTTATAACTTGGCCTATTTAAAAATAATCACCTTTCCAATGAAAAACAGAAGATATACTCCAAAGAAAAGGAAGTGAAGAAAACTTTGAAAATTGTGTTCAAAGTTGTGGCAAAGTACAACTGCAAAACAGTAGCTTGCTGTAGGCGCTGTGGGAATTGTGAGCCGGTACTTGATGTCTGTGCGCAGTAGCTGTTTCCTTCCTCTGGTTTCCTGATTCACTTATCTTGGTTCTGTAGGGCGTTGCATTGCTAAAACTGCACAGGAAGAACGTGTGGGTTCACCAGTTAGCCCTATTGCCATCCCACGTAAACAGGCAGTAAACTATTAGGGAACCCTAACATAAGAGTTTTCGCCGAAGTTCTCACTCTACCTGGGTGATTTCTGGCTGTCAGTTTTGGGATTATACAACACTTCAGTATGAGCACAGCACTGAAAGGTATGATTGGAAATGAAACTATTCAAATATCGAGGTTTTCTGACCACTTTTCATTTGTGCAGACTGTTGCTAAATATGCGTATTTTATGGACACCCTTTATTGGGTACAGCGGCAGACAGTCTTTCGCAAATACAAGTTAAGAAAAAAAAAATTAAGACATTAAATTGCATTTTTAGAACACTGGCTAAACTGTTTATTAAATCCCAAAGTTTCTCTACGAAACAAAAATTCTTTTAAGTTCGATCTGTCATATCTCGATGTAACGGTGACCTACACTACTCCGTCTGTATAGCGCTATTGCGTACGAAGCAAAGGACGTGTCTGTGGGCCACTGAAGAAAATGGCACCTTACCAAACCAAAAATAAAGACGTTATCATGACACTGTTTTGCACAGTTGTCATTTTTTTTTCTAAATTCATGCTTGTTTCCTGAGAGTCTTTAGTTAACTTCTTCCGATTCCAGTGACCGAATGCAGTGGAAATATACGCTATAATTGACAAATTCCGTCAACTGAGATACCGTAATGTAGTTGACAAAGAACTAACAACCTTTTTATTACACTTTAAGAGAGCAAAAATTTATCTCTTAAATGGTGGGCATAATTGTTTATTATAAATCATAACTGGCCAAAAAAAGTACTCGAAAAACTCTTGCGATCCTGTCTACCACATCGCTTTGGAAGCTTTAAATAGGTACATTATACTGCAGAGTAATTCAACTTAATGGCCTTGCGGTGCAAAATAGCACTTACAACAAACACAACAAAGAAGCGAAAACTCAGAACTAGAATAGGCAATTCTAGTTATTTTTTAACTTTCCAGAGGGGAGTTTATTCTTAACTTTAAATAGGTGAAAATATTAGTTATCATGGAACTCTAGCACAGTGCTAACTTAACCCTAAAGAGCCGTGGCGGAATCCCTCTCAATACATTCTCCGGTATCGTCGCATCGCACTGTAATTGCGTCAGCTGTCGAGCCTTAAGATTTTTTAAAGTAACATTTTGCAGTCATTTTGACACGATGTTTGCATCAATTGGACCGGCCATTCTATTGGAACGCTCATATTTCCGAGACAGGTTAGCCCAAAATCCATGTATTTTCCATTCACGTGATCAGTGCGCGTGGCCAACGCGCATGAAGGCGTGGGCTTCAAATGACCTTAACATCAAAGCCCTTTGTCAACGGATTGAGAATGTGACAGCTGAATTCTTGGGGAGCAGAATCGGCGCCCTTCAGCTACGAGATGATCCAACATATCCCAACTAGTTGTAGGGTTAAATTGGGGGTTAATATTGTTGCATATTTCTGATGGTTTTCCTCTGTTCTGTCAGCAGATATGGCGGATGGTTATAAGAAACAACACAAACGTATATCAAACCTTAACACGACACGACTAAAACTTTCTATAATCACAGTGTGCAAATGTATTTAAAACAATGCCTCAACATTTTACATTGTAAATAAATAAATTTAAAAAAGTCCTTTGCTGTGGATTATACTTGGGTGACTGTACAAGCATAAAACACCTGTTTGGAGATGCATTCAATCAAAGCATTACCGAGTCATCGGAAAATTGACAGGGGATCACGAGTTACTCATTGTCATTATGTTGTATCCCTTGGATACTGTGACTCATATACCCGTACTGTAACGGCCACCCTGCCACAAGAGATTCGTGTGGGGGTTGTTGTATGATTAAGGTTGCTTTGAGAAGATCAAAGCTAGGCAACATTACGAAGAAAAAAATGAATGCATCCAAGCTGACATCTGCAGAGATTCGATCGAATTCTCATTATCATCATCATCCAGATCTTAATCACAACAAGGAGAATTTCCACTGTAAATCCACGTATTTGGAAAATAAATTATATCTTTATTTTTAAAGTCTCTTGAACTTACACAAGTTTGTCTTCGGTATTGTATAGTTGAGATGAAAATAAGGAAGAGTAGGAAATAAACTGGAGCATACCCATAGCCTTTGCAATGAGACATGTTTTCTTTGAAGAGGATTCTCTATTTAGTTCTATAACATTGTTGCATGGCGGAATTGTTAATTCCGCCTCAAGATTTCATTGTCTGTAGTGTAAATAATGAATGTTGCCATTATAAGAATATTTGCCTGGCGTGACGACTCTCTTGCTTAATGACAGGTTCATATATAGCGCAAAAGCGAACATGAACACAAATTTGTGACGTGAGATCAAATATTCACGCCGCGAGTCCGTAAAGTTGAACACATTTCAACTCTAGCGAAAGCTTGCTGCAAATTTTTCGTGACGTCAAATTCGCTTCGCCTTAAGTATGAACCAACAGTACTCTGTTATTCTTTTAAGTGATTCTTTGTCACTTGATGGCAAGAATATTTTTGATCCAATTTCCTGTGAATAAATTCTACGAAGCAGTTTCTACTCTTATTTGAGTTACTAGTGGAAAAAAGGGGCAGTTAATACAAGGTAAATATCAAACTTTTTTGTCTGTTCTTTTGCTTTCTTAATATTATGAGCGCGGAAAGTAAGCCCTGGCATTAGCATTTAATGACTTCATTCCGCTGTATAAGGACACAGGGAATGAACACCGAAAAGTTTCATGATGTAGTTTTTCTCATCTTCCAATTTCTTCATTTGATATCTGTGATTGCTTGAACGGTTCTCTACTGTTGATTTTCCGCACCAAATTTAAATTATCATGAAAACGTATACGCTAGTACTACAGCGAGTTCAAGTGGTACTTTGGTGACTTGCACTGTACCTAAATGGTACGTAATCAAACAGGTGTAAATTTAAAGTTGAAATTAACAATTTAGCCAATGCCATGGAACAAAATGAAAGTATCTTTCCAGCGAAGTTTGAAATGTATCAGACTCTCTACTTTAAATGGGGGAAAGTTACCTGGTTGTTTGCTGTCATTGTGTTGTTTTCTGACATGACTGAAATCAACATGGACACTGCAGGTAGTCGTAAAATACTGTAGCTCCTTCATCAACATATTACTTGTGACTCAGTCGTTTATTTAGTATGCCTACAGGAAATGACTTACCACCAGCCCGTTTACCCTGTAAGAACCGACAAAGAAGCGGAATGTGTTGGCCTGAATTTCCTCTGACTTGGTTTTGCCGTGAACTATGTTACCCAACTAGGTCCGTTTGCAAAGGCTAGATCAATACTCCAGCAGCAGTATTCGAAGGATTCACTTAATATTTATAACTCATGGATATCGGCATTTGCGTGTACTTTTCTTGATAAGAGACGATAATTTATTTAAGTCTTTTTTTTTTACCTGCTGACACAGAGACACAAGGCTCTTCAGCAGTGTTTCTGGCCCAGTGCAGCCATGTTCATTGGACATATGGTGGGGATTTTGTAATGAGTCAGATAGGAACTCCAACTACACATCGTAATTTGACGATTAACATTCAGGGATAACTACAACAGATAAAATGTGAAAAACGTTTTATAAGTGAACTGTTGAATAAGCCTGTTGCAAGTTAAATTTGAAAAAAATCTGGAACACTGAGTTATCTAATTGCACATAAACATAACAATTTTAACTCCGCAGACTAAAGACACTGTTTCTATACCTCGTGATTTGGGGTAAGCATTTACATACCGACCACCATCTCTGGAATGGATTGGTTCCTTTGTGCCCTTCTTATCCATTGAAAACAGTGTATTGGTACAAGGTCTCTTATGTAACTAAGCAAAAGCTTAGTATGTAAAATTCAAATTGGTATGTTCACGTGAATTTAAAGAAGTCAGTGTACCAGATAAATAAAGAAATAATAAAACTACAAAATTATAAATTAAGATAAAAGAAAAAACAGTTAACCGCTAAATCTACAACCTTAAGTTGGGGGATGACGGCTAAGTAAAAGTTTGAGCAATAAAAACAAAACAAAGAATAAAAAATTGTGACAAATTTTTCGGAAATTTTGATTTAGTTCGGAATAAGAGTTTGTTGAAAATACTAATTGTATGGATTTCATTTGTGGGGGCGGTGAGAATGAGGTGCTTATTTGTCATGACTGTGAAGAGAACGCTGTCTCACTTGGTGGCAACAGTTGATACCAAAGGCCATAAATAGTACAGTGACAATGGTCTTTTTCGTTAGCGGAACATCATATTGGAAGGGCATATACCGGAACTTGTACACGGTCGTGTTACCTGACAAATAAAGAAAACACCTGATTCCGCTCCACGGACGTCCATTTGGACATGCAGGCTGGGTCCAATTGTTGACAGGCAGGTCTAAGCTTCCGGGTCAACCGGATGACCTCAATAAGATACAGTGCATCATCTGAAGTATTAAATTAAATCTAGAGGTACAGTATTGGTGTGGGTGGATATGTTTTCTTCACACTCGTTGGGTGTTGATCATTTGTTGTTGGACCTTTTATGTTGATCAAAGTGATACACTATAATGGTTTGATATTCTGTATGAATCCTTCTTCCACTTTTCCTTTTGGGGTTGTTGGCTTTAGATTCAAGGAATAGAAGGTGGATTGAAACGGTAAAAAGTTAAAGGCAACGAGCCTAATGCTTCTGTACAGGCGAAGATTCCGGGGGTGTGGGATATAACGCCCTCCCCACTTTTGGGCCTTGGGGTTACCAATGTGATCGTCCCTCCACTTTTTGAGTCACGGATCATGCACACCCTTGAGGCGCCTTTCCATGATGGGCTATAACATTTGCGCTAGGCGTTGCGTATCCATCCAACTTGTTCCGAGGGCGATTTTGACAGCCGAACGGAATGCACACCTGTGTAATGTTAATGGGGTCGACTTTTGTATCCAAGAAAGTGAAACCATGAACACATCGTGTACGCAACGCAGCCAGAAAACGTACATGTGGAAAGGCACTTTTAGCTTGCACCACCAACTCCGCACTTGCAGATGTCAAAATCTCATATGGGATGGAGGCCGAGATGTGGTCGGTGGATGAATACGAAATCATCCCCCACACGTGACAAGAATCTCCGCCCATGTACCGTACCAAATTAAGGTGTCAATGGCGATAACTTTCCTATCATAGGTTTTTCGCTTTGTGTATCTACAGTAAAAATCGAACGATCGTTAAGTGTCCCAAGGGCTCGAGATGACAGTGACATCAAATCAGATGACGATGCTGAGGCACCCCACCCAGGTCATCGGTTCTTCACACCTCAACCTGACCGTAAGAAACCTCTTCTCCTCCCGAAGCCCAGAGCCTCAATACCTGCTGTTTCTCCGAAGATCAGAGAGGGTGATGAAAAGCACAACGACAAAGAATCCTCGCCAAAAGCCAAAACACACGATGACACCAAAGAAGTGGAGGACAGAGAAAATGACTCGGTACCCAACGGCCATCTACCGGCAAATGAGGGCACTGGGGCTCGCAAGACGGCTCGACTGACGGCCTTACGAGCAGCTAGTACCATGGAACCCCTCATACCGAAAAGGAAGGCACCGAGCCAGCCCCCACTGAGCAAGAGACGAACATCGGACACACAGCTACAAGTTATAGAACAACTCATGAAGAGGAATGAAGCTTTAAAGCACTCAGGCTCATCAACGCTAAAGCCTGGTTTCGGTGAGTTCACCCCAACCGTCACTACGACGACACATCTTGATACTAGACCAAGTTTGCACAGCTTTGTGGTGATTGTTTACTGCTTTTAGCTGTGCATGAATGATTACTTATCCTTTGAGCTCACTATACTTGCTGCCTGCTGGCGATTTTGTTTCAGGTAAAAAGGTTGCCAGGTCTGCTAGCAGCGCTGGTCTTCTTTCTCCTTCTTCGAGCCACGAGCGTCATCGAGGCAGTCGACACCAGTTCCTAACACCTCAACCAACTCGCCGTAAATTCAACCTCGTTGACCGGACTCCATCCTTTAACGATGGCTCTCCCGTGGGCCCTGTAGCCCGTCTTGCCCTGAAGAATAAACGCCTCACTTCCCATAACAGCTCAGACTCTGCTCACAGCCCTGATTTGTCCCCCTCACCTAGCCCTCATACCCCAGTAAGCCCCCTGGCAGCACCTGCTTACAAAACCAAAAAGATGGCCTCTCAACACAGTTCAGACTCTGGGCTTACGACAGAATCCTCCCCGTCTCCTACTCCCCACACCCCAGTGAGTCCCCTAGCCGCCCCGGCGTTCAAAATCAAGAAGCTGAATTCTCAACAAAGCTCAGATTCTGGTCTGAGCTCAGACTTGTCTTCCTCTCCAAGTCCTCTTACCCCAGTCAGTCCATTAGCAGCTCCAGCATTCAGTGGTCGTATGAGACAGACTGTTCGACCTGCTCCTGCGATACCAGAAGGACAGCAGAACAAGATTGACTTCCATCAATGGAAAGGACCAGACAAGGAGAAACAGTGGACAAAGCCTGAGAAATCTAACACTGGATCCAAAGATGGTAAGCTTTTTTGAACATCAGAATGTTTATAAGATATATCTTATTTCTGACGAAGTGTGAGCCGCTATATTCGTCCTTATGATACTTAGTACTTAAAGATGCTCATTTCGTCAGTGGTTCAGACTTGAAATGATTTATTTTTTATATGTTCTAAATGATAACACTGCATCGATAAGAATACTTATCGAAATTCTAAAGTTGTAATCACGTAAAACTTTCAGGGTCATAACTTTCCCTCTAAATCAATAGGAATTTCAAGGAACAGACCCATCAGTATGCCGAATAATATCCGTCGCGTCAGCCGTGGCTCCGTCAATAAATCCAAGCAGCGCCAATCGGCTGTGAGGCAGGTGGCGGCCCGTCAGCTAGCATCTACGGTGAGACCTCCCGTATCATCACCGGCTATCGGGCGCTCCAACTCCTCAAGACAAAGACACCAAAGTGCCCCAGCAGGACGTGTAGCACTGGCCCTAAAACACGACCCAACAACACCTGTTACCAGCCTGACGGGTGGAGAGTCACAGCTCAACACTGCTATCTCCAAGGGGATAAGGCGTCGGCACGCCTCAGACAGTCTGCGTAAGGAAGTATTGCGCTCCGTCAGCATCGAGAAATCCAGGAAAATGTCACTAATGAGCGATGATGGGAGGAGTAAGGAGGAGGTTACACCCCTTGGGAAGGCAGATTTTGATTTCCGGCAGGAAATGGTAAGAATGAAGTCTGGTCACGACCAACCTGACGCTAGCACCCAGGCTCTCAATGGAAGCGCCAAATCTTCAATGAAAAGGGTAGGCTATGTCTGAAAGAAATATCAGGCTACAGAATCAGTTTCAAACGTAAATAGAAGCAACTGAAAGTACTTGACATATTTACCCCATACTAGGCAATTTCATGTGTCGATGTAGCAGAAAATGGAATTGGAAGTGCCTCGGCTCAGGCGACTAAATTTCTTGAAATGGAAGCCTGAAATTACAGATACGGACGGAGCCAAGATTGGACAGTTTCATTTCATTATTTATCAACCAACCTGGAAAGAGAACCAATGGTAGCCGACATGATAACTGAGGCCACGCGTAACAAAACTATCGATAAGCATGATAAAACACATTTCAAAAGTACCAACTGAAAAGCATGCAAAATGTAACATGGATTTGAAAAATGTCTGAATATCATTCAACTACACTGCAGAAAATGACGGGAAATGATTGCTTTAGACGGAGCGTTTATATTAATTTACATACAATGTAAAGAAAATACAACATAACTTTGTAAGGCGAAAATGCCCAGGTCATTTTTATTGATAGCCTTGTTTTTCCAACCAGTTTGTGTCTGCAGATAACAGGAGCGTTTACAGCGACTACCCGTCCACGTTCTCAGATTCTCCCGGAGGATCTCCTACCAGACAGAGACCTAAACTACGGCGGGGTCGCAGCTCCAGAACCTCCCTAGGATCTCTAAAGAGCATGCTAGCTAGCAACGAGGTGAGGGCAAACATAGGGTCTGGAGGTTTTTCAACAAATTGAAAAGATCATTACATTTCACCTTATCTTGTCTTTCTGTACACAGAAAAAAATGAGACTTTGTATCGAGACAGAAATTTCTAAGAAAAAAGCTTAAAATTGTGAACAAGAGATTTGGTTAACAATGACTGTCCCATAATCGTTTGGTTCTAAGAATCGGTCAACATTTACTTTTGCTAAACAAAAAAAAAATGTCCGATTCAAACAACAAATCTTACAATTCATGACGTTGGGTAATACAATTCTTATTGCTGGGTTTTCAAACCTGAAACTTTAAACGCAAGTTTTAATCTCATTATCAACGCGGATCTTGAGGTTATACGTAAAACATCCACTTCCCTTGATTTGTACAAACAGTGATAAGTTTCTCAGTGGTTACCTGAGGGAAATATCCAATCATATAGGCCTAGATTCACTGTCGTGATCGTCTTGAAATCATTTTCACTGTTTGTGTTTCTTTTCTTCTTAGTTCCTCAACGACATCTTTCTGAGTGACCGTAAATCACACCGTAAGCTGAAGGGTATCGTCGGCGCTCTGGCCGGTCTAGTCCTCGGCGGATTCCTGTTCCTCGGACTCTACTATGGACTAGAATACAGCCTTGTCGCTTCCATCGTCATGACCTCCATCGCAACAATCATCATGTCTATGACTCTTGCGTTTACCGGTAAGCACAAGTCTTAGTCTCCTCTCGTGTCAAACGTCCTGCTTTTCTGTTTCTGGCGAACGCTGATCTCTGTTACATTGTTGAAAGAAGTTTCGAAGAATTGCTTGACATGATCACACATGTGCCATACATTCCACGAACAATCGTCGTTTGCATCACGCGAAAGTGCTGACCCACAGGTCTCAAGGTTTCTTTCTCATGAGAGTTGTCAGAAATGAGATCTTGGGTATGAGTGAGTACTCAGTGAACTCAAGGTGAGTTCCGCTTAACAAGAACCAAGATCAATACAACTATGTGAGACACGTGTCTATGGGGAACGGTTGCAGACGTTAGCAACAATATCATATGATGCAAGTTATGGGGCGGAGAGAACACCCCCCACACCTTTGTGTTGGTCATTACTTGATCGCAATTGCAGTAATTCTTTACAGGCTTTTGGGGGGATGTGTTAGGTAATAATAGTTGAGAGTGGGTATAGGGATTGGACATGGGGGGGGGTACCCATCTGCCCCATATCGTGCACGGCATCACAATATTTCTAGACGCGGCTTCATGTTTTAATGCTCGATCAACCGTAACATTGTGAGGCATCGTTCACTATCGAAGGTGGGAGGGGTACCAGACTAAGGTTGAGGACAACTGGGAGCTATATTTAATTTTTATAAATAGCTCTATGGAATACATTAGCTCATCAGTAGCTCAGTGATATAGGGTCGAATTCTGCCTTCTCTGTATTGTGCAAATTGCGTGGAAACGCGCAGACAATAGACCTAGCCGTAGCTCTTGAAGCCCATTTCGGACACAGCCATGATAGTCTGTTTAAGTGGTACAGTACCGACAAAGCATCTGTTGATTTTGTTCTTCAGTTCGAGCCCGTTGTGTAGCGGCCTTGATGATTCCTACATTATGTACCTCCAGAGGGCGGGCTGCATTCCTTGCGCTCATTGTAACCTTACTTCTGACTGGTCCTATCGATAACATCTACACCAACGCTAAAGTGGCGTCGGATTCTATGAGTTGCAGCGCAGAGGTAAGCTATGTTGATCTAGGATTAGACATAGCATCACAGAGTAAACTTGTTTTCAGATGCGAATATGGACTAATCAGATAAGACACCATTACTACGGTGGCACGCTCACGCGCGCGCAAATCCCGATAGTTTATTGGTCGAAGAGGCAAGTAACGCGCGCGTACCACCTGTCCGTGAGCGTTGTGACACCACAGTAATGGCTTCTTTTTCTAGTTGTGAATGTATTGCACGTGTTACGTAGCATATCAACGCCCAGCATGACTTGATGAAAGCTCGCTTTATAACATTAACTTAAATATTTTGTTATCAGCTGGCACAGAATCAGACCGTCCTCATCAGAGATGCCGCCAGGGAAATTTTCGATGTTTACATCCGAACCCTTGAGGACAGCGTGAGAAAATTGCAGGATGCGGCGGCGGCTGTTCAAGATGCCTTTGAGCCGGTAGAAAACGCCCTCAACGACTTTGTGGAAGCTCTTGGAGTGAGTGAACTATGCATGATCTGAGCTTAAAGATACAATTCAGTTTCGTCAGGATAAATTTTTAAAAGAGAAAAATGCCAGTTTCACAAGTTCTAAAATCTAAACTTTGAGCAATAAACATACCCTCCTACAAAATTTATCATTCTACAAAACTAAAAGCATGGTGGCGTGAAAGCCTGACTTCTTGCCGTTTTAATGTGGAGTAGGCTATTTATTTGGCTAAACTTTTAACTAAATTTAGTATCTAGTAGATATAAGCTTGAGTATATTGTTTGTTATTTGTTGCTAGGAAGCAAAGGAGGCAGTTCGAGTTGCCGCTAGTCATTGCAAACAAATAATCAACGGAGCTTATAAGATTGCTCTAAAGGAGTTAACGCTGCAAATAGAGATTGTACGAGCGCTTTAAGTCAAGTACCCAATCTTGGAAACACAGGACTAGGTAAGTCTCTGAATGACTTGAGACAAATGACCAGAACCTAGTGAACACGTGTACCTCCAATTTATGAGAATTGTGATTGGAGGTACACGTGTCCACAAGGTTCCGGTCGTATCAACTTGAATATCAACCTATACTATTGGATCATTTTGAAAACAACTCCGACCAGTCTGTCAGTGTTGTTTTTATCAACATACATGTTTGAATTTGTTCTTTAAAATAGCAATTGTATACGCTTTAGAAAAGAATAAGACGTATATTGTAGTTTTCTCTGTTTTTTTTTCTAGAGGAAGTTTGTAACATTTTAAACTTCGGACAGGAAGTCTGCGGCCTCTTACGTGACGCTGATGGTATTTGTGAAGTGCCAGCATTTATCGATAATCTGTTAGACGAGGCATTCAGAAACTGTCACAAGAGCTCTGGATGACGTCCGCCAACTGTTCAATACTGACGTGGACTTCGAAACCTATTGGGAGAATCGATTTAATCGGAGTCAGACCTTCGATTCCATCCAGGCTGCCATCCAACAAGAGCTGGAAGACTCTTTCTCTTTCCTGAATTTAGCCTTTTCTGTAATCGATAAGATCGTGGCTGTGTCCATAGTCTTTCTGCTCATTCGATCTTACCAATATCACAGTAAGTATCGCACTAAAGATCGCTTCGATAATTGCTACATCACTGAGGAGTTTAAACTCCTGGACGAAAGGCGACAAAAGTCTGGCCGAGAACCGCTTCTACCCCTGAAGAAATCGGAAAGACGTCGACTGATCAACTTGTCGTCTGTGTCGCTTAGCAAACCAGAGAAAGGTCTCTTCAAGTTGGGTCTTGTGACGGTCCTTCTCCACGCTGTCATCGCAGCTATTCTTATCCTAGCCGATTACGGTCTGTTCTGGTTATTGTCGCTCATTTCTCGTCACGGTAGGGTGAAGTTTGAGATCTCAGGCGGGGGAGGTACGGATCTGACAATCGGCGGTTCGGGGGTTCTCTCTAAGCTCATCCAATCTCTGTTTGTAGAAGGGTTTGCGGCTGCTAGCGAGTTTAACGTTACACTGGACACGGAGCACTGCCTGCCTAATCCCGTCCCTCCCAATGAAATCCTTTCAGTAGGAATTGGGGTGCTGTATCTTACTGCTTTAGTCATGGTTCTATTCCAGGCTTATGCCTTACGCCTGCGACGGAGAATTGCCTCCTATTTCTACCCAGAGAGAGAGCAAGAGCGAATTCATTATCTGTACAACCACACCCTTCAAAGACGACAGAATCTCTTCAAATTGCTGAAGCAGAGAATCAGGCAGACGAAGCATGAGATGGAGGTTGAGCAGAGAGTTAGTTTCGTAGCTTACCTTTCAGCAAAGTATCCATTCTGGAGGAGAGTCTTTCTTTGGTTAGGTCAAGAGAAACGGGTGTGTCTAGGCTGTGCAGATGTGGACAATGGGACTTTCAAATCGTGTGGTAATCCTGACTGTAGCGGACTGTACTGCCGTGAATGCCTTCATGAAATTAACAGCACATGTACGTTATGTCAGGAGATTGTTGTTGGGAGCGACCTGTCAATAGGTGTTGTTGAGCACAGAGTCTGAACGACCCATCCAAACGTCTGCTTATCATGCAGTGTGTTCCCTCGAAATGGTGCAAGCAAATACCATTCATTTGAAACAAGAGATTCAACCTTGGTACTTAATACTTAAAAGGTTTTAAATCGAAAAAGTTAAAGAGGGCCTGATGTTTTGATGTTAGCAGAACATTTTCTGAAATTAATATTGACAATCTTTCTTAGTGGTTTTAAAGGGTCGCTCATTGCTTGAGATATGCGTTTTCTTATTTAGATTGGATCCACTCATAGAAAGTGGTTCATGCACAACCTTGATTCATTGTTTTCACCTGAACGTATCCCTTGATAGCTTAAAATAAATACAAGTAATATGAAAAAAAAACCCATCAAGCTATCTAACGGTTTTCCTTTCTAAAACCATGTAATTTATAAGTACCACCATTTGATATTTTATGTTTAAACCCAACAGTATTTGCTTGTACCATTCTGTCGAAAACCGGGGCATGCCTTACCAACTGCCGCTTATTCAAATCCTAAAATTAGCACATTCTGCGTGCAGAAGAATTGAACTTATAAGATAATTAAAGAGTTGAATGTGGAGGCTCCCCTTGCAAAACCGCTGACCTTCATAACTATCATTTTCAGCAATGCATGTGTACATGGTATTATTTCAAACCATAATACTACCGCCTTTTCAATACTGCCAACCAAAAAGAATTCTGAAGAATGTCCATGCCAAGCCATACATTTAACCTCTTCAATACAGTCCGGGTCAACACAATATCATGTTAAATAATATTTACTGGACAAATCTGGAAAAAGTTCTTCAAACATAATTGTGTGTATAATAATATCGACAAATAAATAATAATTGAATCAAGACTGAACCTCGGAAGCGCCCAATAATATACGTTTCAAAGTGTTAGGCCAGTAAGCAGGTTTCGGGTTTATTACCTTTGTACTAACATAAAGAATTCTTTTGACAATAATTATGCCACTGGTTTTTTGATAGGGCCATTTTTAATTGAAGGAGTTGATAACTGTGGGTTGTATCACGTAGACGGTGTAGCAGTCAAGAATCTCATTAGCATGCTCATTACAACGAGTTTTCAATAATACCTGATTTGGAAACTAAATCATGGTTTTTTTTAACAACATGCGAAAAGAAGTATCAAATGTTTTTAAAAATGGATCAGAATTGTGTTTTGTATAAACAAAGCTTTTAAATCTCAGTCTCGTCAATTTGAAAATGACTTTCCATTAACCTTCTTTGGAATACCACACTGTCATATAAAGAATGTTTTCTCGTAGGTCTATATACAAATATATATGTAAACAATTTCGTTATTTTTGAGTATTTTCGTGAATCGATCAGATATATTTAAAATCGAATTCCTTCATGTGAGCCTATATTTAATTAAGCAACATAAAAAATGGACGTTTTTTCTTGGAAATAATGTATATATTACGCGACCTTGACAAAATAAATATGCCAGAATTTTATCTAAGCGTATAAGTTTGTCACGCTTGGAATACATGTGGAGAAATGTTGTGGATGGGGAAAGGTGGGGCTGGGGAAAGCAGGGGGGGGTTGATACCCATATGACTCTATACAGGTTGATGTTAATGATATTAATGTGTGTCTTTTAATGTATATTTAGAATAGCATATGTATTCTAGTCGTTAGAAGTGTGAAAAATCTTTGCATTCCGCTTTAATTTGTTTGCTCACCACAAAAAGTGGGGGGGGGGGATTCAATAGCCCACCCCCTCCATAAGTGGGAGGATATACCTCCCTATCTTTCCGGGATTCATGCGAATGAATTCAGAATTATGTCCTTGTTATTCCTCGGGATAAACAAATTTTTTTGTTTTAAATATAAAGTAAATAGGTTAAGGTTATAGATTACGATAACGGAGCTGTCAAAATATTGTTAAGAGAATATCTATGTACATACTTTGTTTTGGGTGCTGCACAGAAATAACCATTGGGAATATAGAATTTTAAAACGGTCCCTTCTTAAAAATTATTTTTAAATCCATGGTATTTTAAGACTGTTTTGTTTGGTTCTCAGCTTTCATATACACAGGCTACCATTTTTGTGAATAGGGCGTGTTTTTTAGCATTGAATTCCCAAACAAATGCAATGCCGCACCCAAAAATTTCGACTGCACTTTCCTTTTATTAAAACATGTCTGGGTTAGTCGAGAAAAATACTCTACATCGTAACACTTAACATTAAGACCAAAACTCGCTCAAACAAAAGTTCGTTTACACCAAAGTCTCACTGTCATCAACCCTCTTGGTCAAATAGACATTTCAGAGTCCCTCCTTTAAACCTAAAAACAAGCAATACTGTCCAAATATTGTCTCCACAATGGACAACTTTCTTTGTCGCAACTCACGCCTATGGTGTACTATTTACGACACATATTTTCTTTCTCTTTAGCCTCCCTCCAGGCGACGCAACTACACGACGCGACGGCACGACGGCTCCCTTGCGTCGTGCCGTCGGGTCGCACCGTCGCCTTCTTCTTGCCATTACTTTTGTACACACACGACGCGTCGTGTCGTGCTGTCGCCCGTCGTGTCTTGCTGTCTCAGGTCCTTTCCATGTTGCATTTTTGTTGCCTAAACTTTGCCCCTTCCGTCGCCCGTTGCGTCGTACCGTCGTGCGTCGCGTCGTACGTCGTGTCGTGTATCGCGTCGCCTATTACGTCGCCTGAAGCACGACGCGACGCACGGCACGACGCACGACGCGACGCGTAGTGTGCTGTCGCCCTTTGTTTCTTGGTGTTTATAGAGGGCTCCTTTACTGATTTCTTTCAACTTCCGCTCCGGTACTTGAATAGTAAATGTAATTAGAGAGAGCGTCACGACCAACTAACAGCCTTATCTCCAGGAAATAAATAACATGAGCCACAACGTTGTTTTGACTTTTCCCGCTCTAATTTTGATCTTCCTAATAATTATGTAATAGAATTAATTTTGCTCCCCCACTTTTTGAAATCCTAACTCCCCCAGAATTAGGTCATACAATTTGTGTGGGTTGCTTGACAGTGCGTGTGGGCAGTTGGTAGCAGAACTTGCAACCAGCCACAAGAGTCCTTGAGAAGGAGGTGATAACTTCCCTAGCTAGTGACCTTCCACTTCACTTGAATTGGCTACTGGACTAAACAGAACATGAACGAATGTACGAACATGCCATACTTGCAAATTCGTCCCTGTCCTGCTCAGAATTTTCAGAATTTCTGCTCAGCTCATTAGCATTATAAAAAGCAGCCCAGCATTTTTCTGAAAAAAAAGGAGAAGGCCCCCGAAATGGTGAAATTGTATAAATCGTTGCCAGGATCAACTGCCTGGGTCTTTGCGCTATCCTATGAGAGCAGAATGGCTAAAAACTACAACTGAAAAATGGTCCTAAGTGCCCAAGAAGGTTGAGGGTTGCCACTTGAAAAATGGCTGCAATCAGACTTCGGAAAAATCACGTTTCTTGGGTGATTTTGTTTTGTGGGAATAATTAAAAATGTGATTGGTTAGCCCACAATAAATTGAAAAGAGATCGCAAGATTAGGGACCAGACAACAATTTTATTTGTGTTTCAGCAATCTCACGGATGTTGGTAAGCATGTTATTGGGCTCTGAACAGTGCCTGTTTTACACTGTTTTCAATGGGGCTTGAATTAGTGGACTGTACCTTACTATGCAAGTACGGGGGGCGGAAATGAAAGAAACAGTAAAGGCGCCCTCTATAAACACCAAGAAACGCGTCGCGTCGTGCGTCGCGTCGTGCGTCGCGTCCTGTCGTGCGTCGCGTCGTGCTTCAGGGGACGTAATAGGCGACGCGATGCACGACACGACGCACGACGGTACGACACGACGGGTGACGGAAGGGGCGACGTTTATGCAGAAAAACAAAATGCAACAAGGAAAGGACCCAAGACAGCACGACGCGACGGGCGACGCGACGCACGACGCGACGCGTCGTGTGTGTACAAACGAAATGGCAAGAAGGCGACGGTGCGACCCGATGGCACGACGCAAGGGAGCCGTCGTGCTGTCGCGTCGTGTAGTTGCGTCGCCTGGAGGGAAGCTAAAGAGAGAGAGAAATGTTTGTCGTATATGGTACACCATACACGCCACAACCACCTCAAAATGGAAAGCGTTTTTTGCTTAGGAGGTCGAGTGGATTTGAGCAAGCCGATTTAAAAGAAGAGTCCGTCGGCAGGTCTGGTATCATTTTGTCCGACGTACAGCTGTGTACATGTATAGATCGTGTCTCATCATGCGGAGTGTAATCGTTGCTTGTATGATTGGCCTGGCTTGTATTAGCCTATGTTCTGGCGCGGACAACACTCAGCAGAAACGAAGATCACCACTCAAGGTATTAACAACATTTATCATTTACTAAGGTTTTGGTCTTTCTCTTATTTTCATTCATTTCAGTTAAGATTTGACTAAAGACAATAAAAATTGGACCACAAAGATGGTTTGTTTGTTTGAATGATTAATCCACTATTCATTCATATGTTCGATTGCGTAAAGTTTTGAATTTCCAAGCATTTCATTTTAGTTAAGCTGTTCACTTTTGTGCTTAGAATTGGACTTAATGCTGAGTACATAGAGTTAATTAAGAAAGATTTTACGGTGAAGAATCTTCCACAAACAAGCAAATCTTGTTGAGGATATTGGTTCAGATTAATATCCAGCTGAAATGTATTACCCTAGGCCAACCATTTTGATAATGAAATGAACATTATTCAGGTATGAGTTGTATTATTTTGTTTCTATCAAATTAAGCTGAAACTTATGACGTTTGATGAATGTTGTCAGCGGTGTAAATGCAGTCCCTGACATGATACAACGAAATCCTTTAAAGATATATTAAGAATAAAGCCTAAAATATAAAAAACTACAAAATTAATCCAATCGAACTATAAACCGTGCATTCTAAACGTTTTAGAACTACTTCGCAAGAGAAGGAAAACGATATAAGAAGAATATGCCACATTTCACAATAAAATAACTATCATGGCACCTGTATTTTGGTCTTTCATTTTGCTTCGCAATATTAGGCTCTATCACATCCTACATTATTGGAAAATTTGGATTCTGTATCTAAATTAAGATCAATTTAATCTAAGTAACCAAGTGTTTATCGTTTCTTTCAATAATTTGTCAGTTTAATCTGTCTGAATACATTGAAAACTACTTTCTTAATGCACAAACCTGACAAGATAATGTACTTTTTAGTGCACTTTGAAGTTTTGAGGGAATTGGATGTTTGTTCAGGTGAACCAATACACCATGTGAATGTCAATGTAGCACCGTTTTCTGCGTTGTTGCTAAGGATCGTACATCGTACGATATCCCTCTAGTTAGAAGACAAATATTGACGAAGATTCTTAAGTTAATTCCTCTTGAATTTGAAAGCTGTATAAACATGTCCCCTGACATATTCGATACTTAGAGTTGGTGGGTACTGGCTTGTTGTCCAACCTCAAGTGTTCGGGGTTCCCTTTGGTATTCAAATTACTATCAAGGAAACGGGTAACTCATTATTTGGCGCTCCCGGAAATTCAATTTGCTTTTCCGACAAAGTCCAAAATTGTGAAAGTGGTCTGTTTTCTCTTGTGTGGATATCAAGCAGATCTTGCAACAACCCCTTAGATATAGATTGGAACGTAAATCAAAATACAATCAACCAGTCCTTTCTTTGAACTGTAAATAAATTAAACAATGTGGAAGAAAATGTTAACCAAATACGCTTAAACGCCTCTGGTTAACTATATATGCAAACTTAGTGCGTTTTAGCGAATGCCTTATAAGGGAATCGAAACGTCCTATTCTTAGTTAGAAAGGCGACAACTGCTTTTGTCCATGTGGAGAACAACGAGTTCTGTTTGCATGGGCGTAAATCCCGGGGAATGGGGTAGGTCTATATATCCCCTTTTTGAGATGCATTCAATGTGCATTCTAAATGCATTCAATATTACTAATATAGAAGGGAAACCAATTTTTAAAAACCATCAATATGCCATTCTGAATACATATTACAGGTGTACATCAAATTTTAAATTTTCATGACCAGGCAAGTCATCCTCCCTCACCTTTCCCCACCCACCCCCTCACGACAATGCCGATTAAACCTCTGTACTAAAGCATGGTGGTGGAGTAATATCATCTGCATCAGGCGCTGGAAGGCTTGGGTTGGAGGCCTCTCCCCTCTGTAAGCACGTTTGTGATTTTATTTTCACGAGCTCCTGCGAAGCGCTGAATATTCAGTACTTTATGAAGAACTGATGAAGGGCAAAACAAAATATGACAAGATAAAACTTCGTCTTGTGGTCATAAATTCTCAGGAAAGAGGTTTTATCTTGTCAGTATAACAAACTTTTGCTAATAGTTAGGATTTGGAATTATAGAACAAGCTTTTAGGAGAATGATTCTGATCGAACTTAGTGATTTTTATTTCAGGAGAAGAGCGCCACCGGCAAAGATGCCGTCAAAGCTCTTCTGAAACACTTAAAGACTAAACAACTTACGGAAGCAAAGAAAGATGCATCTTTGGACATCAAGAGTAAGTGAAGTATACCATATTTTAAAGCATGAGTATGTCAAATCGTCCAAAAAGAATTAGTTCAAAAATTGAAATACTCAATTCGATCCTAATACAATGGGGTTATTTCAAGAAATAACTGTAAGAATGAAAATGCACCTGTGTGCAGATATAAGGGACAAGAACTATGGCCGATAAAGGAAATAAAACTTAAACTTAAATATTCATTGAAAAGTCCATTTTGTGTTTTTTAAACATTGCCAACGTGCTTTCTCTCTTATTTTTATTTTGGCATGGTTTTCACTCCACAATCCTAACATTTCTAATGGAACGTTTGATGAAAACTTTGTGGTTGTTTGCCATGTTTTCCAGAGTCCTTGATGACGAGAGCGGAGAGCTTTGGGTCCAAGAGAAACTGGCAAGAATGGCTGTGCAATCATTTTCCTGAATACTGCGGTAAGACTCTAGTCCAGTAGCGTATCCAGCTTTTGGTGGGGGGATTCAAAAGCGAATGCAGCTTCGGGCTCATTCTACATAACGTTGGAGGAGAAAAAGTATCAAAAGCCTTAAGGTCCCAAAATTTTAAGTTTTATTTCATGGTGTTGTTTTCTTAGGGTTTTCTTTCTAAACTTTGAAACACAAGTAATAAAATAAAAATTTGATGAAAGGAACATTAAAATGAAATAAATGTCAGGGGGAGATACGCCACTGCTCCAGTCATCAATACACCACAGATCCTTAAGAATTGTCTCTATTGAATAAATCATGAAAACATCACAATAATAAGACCTACTCTTGTGACGTCACTCTATTCATTAAAGTGTAGATTATCTATTTCGAATTGCAATTCACAGCAGGTTCTTATTAACGAATGTTCACTTGAAAGATGTAGGATATTTTTATGAATCTATACAGGTTTTGCGAAAACTCCTAATAATGAGGTAACCCATACGCTTGTTAATTTAAATGGTAAAGATTCAGCCTTTTTGACAAATTGTGAAATGTATTTTTTTTAAATGGTTTGACATGATTTTTATGTTTTCAAGATGTATTTTGCGTTGGGGAGATGTTAATTTATATAACGGGTTTTGCCCTTACCCAACGTATATATATGATTTTTATGATTTAATTTTAAAAAATAAGTAACACAACGACAGTTTTTACTGTTCTCGAGGAAAACGACTAGAACGTAAAGCGAGGGAAAATACTTTCATCCGCTGAAGCTAAATCAAAGTAAACACGAAGTAAATCCGACATAAAGCATAAAGATGAACTCATTGATTTTTATAACACGAAATATTTTCTGAGTATTATTTCTTTATTTGCAACTCTTTCTTTCTTTGTTTGATTTTTCGATGGCATTTTTAACCTTCAGTTAAAGTAAAATGGTATGCTTACTTAACTTTTGTTTTCTTAAATTTCAATTCTTTTTGGTTTTATTTACGTAAATTATTTTTAATTTTATGTTAAATGTTTGAATAGTCTTTGCTTTTTGTATTTCTCAATATTTTTTGAAACAATTTTTACTTAATTTGCTTTTTTCTTTAAATCTTCCTCATTTCACTTTTCTTTTTTTTCGATTTTTTTAAATGTGAGTGTAACTCCATTAAGTTTCATTATTAACACAGATTTCCATCGTTTAGCAACTGCCTGTGAATAGTGCTAGGAAAGGGGTGAATTAATCGAAATGAATACAAAAAAATTACTAATGTGGAATTTCAGTGTTAGGTGTTTTCCAAACGAAACAATGCCAAGCAGTAGGGGAGCACTCCATGTTTATCCAAACAAAATGTAAAGATTAGTGGTCAGAATTTGAGTGGTCAATGAAGTGCTGCTCCTGCTTAAGCTGATCACCAAACTTCAACATGGTCGAAATCGATAATGCAATCCCATTCAGTTTCATCAACTGCATGAAACAACTGTTTTAGTCTCGTAGGATTCCCTAGCTGTAACACATACATGTATGAATTCATTTGGATTCCAGAGAGACTGATAGTCAAGAGAGTGTTTGTAATGCACCGGTGCTGACTATATGTGTATGACTCTCAGGGTTTCCTCTGACAAAACTGTGCTTGTTGATGAATGGATGAAAGGTTGTGTACTCAAGCGAAGTGGTAGCAACAAGACCCAGACACGGATTACGAATATGTGCATAATTAAAGCCAGCTGTAAAGTTTAGCATTGCTTGCCAACTGTAGACAACAAATTGAATTCATTTATCAAGGCTTTGGTAAGAATCGAAATTTTCTGTGCCAATTGTTTTTGGGACATATGTTGAAGGAACGTCGGAACTGTAGATTTATGCTTCGATAGAGTTTCAATTTGCAATCAGCACTTTGACGTCACTACCTTTTTGATGTTAAGCAAATCTTCAGTATCTGCACTCTCACTATTCGATTCGACTTGCAGGATTCTTTGCAAAACAGTGTGGTGGAGGCATTCATAATTTGAATTACAAGGAGGACGGAGCAAATGTAGCAATTCTTTACGTCTTCGGTGTTTCTTCTTTTAGCTACTGCGAGTGGCTGTGCAGCGGATGAATTTGAATGTACTGACGGCAGTTGTATCTATGACTACTGGCAGTGTGACGGTTGGAATGATTGCAGCGATGCAAGTGATGAACAAGGATGTAAGTCGGCTTTGCAAAATGGCATTTTCCATTTTGTTGATTTTTTTCCTCAAGCGAAAACTTGTTCTTAACATGGTCGATCTGTGCATGCGCAGAGCAAGAGCAAATCTACAGACATTCATGTTTGTATGCGGCTGTATTGGTGCTGCATTCAAAACCGTAATTAAATGCTGCCTTTGAAGTGATAAAAAGTAAGCCATGACCTTTAATTGTGGTCCTGAGCACATTCACAACATAATGAAATTTTGACTGAATTTCAATCACTTCTTTTTTCAGTCGCAATCATAACATGTCAAGATCCCAAGACTTAATCATATGGCAAGCACCAATTAAGTAACGATATCTTAAGTTGATAAGTTCGTCAATCTGACAGCAAGATTATTGCTGACTGTTGTTTCAAGATGGTCGTTGACTGTTTTGTGTGTTAATTACAGGCTCTTGCCGCAGTAACCAGTTCACGTGCGGAAATGGTCGTTGTATTCCGGGCAATTGGCAGTGTGACGACTGGAACGATTGTGGTGATGGAACCGACGAAGCTAACTGTAAGAGGATGGTGTAATTTTTCGTTCTTGAAAAGATGGCTAATTGTTGACTGCCTTAAATGAAAATTTATACAGGCAAGGAACGGGGAATCCTCACGGAATCCTCACAGTACATGATGCTGGCAAAGACCGGGACTTGACGGAAGACCTTGTCTGAACCACATGAAGTAAGATCATAGGGCTCCGAGCTATCACACACCGAGCCGTTAAGAACTGAAGTTCTCTTAAACATTTTGACTCAAGCTTTTTTTTCTTAACATTTGACACGACCTCAGTATCAACTTAGCAGTGGACCACCTAATTGGCTTTTGTATCATGGCTATTGTCTAAATGTGATTTGTTTGCACTCAAAATATTATTCGATTTAATTAAAGAATGGCTTTTGACGGTTATTGGAAGAACCAAAGTTTTTCATGTATAACACGTTTTACTGGACCAAATCAACAGTAACAAATGTACTTACACTTGTAGCCTAAACATTATGTGAAGTCCATTCAATCCTTTTATTCACTGTTTATTGCAGGCCCGTGTGCTGACGGGGAATTCACTTGTGTTTCTGACGGTAGTTGCATCTACGGTAGTTGGCAATGTGATGACTACGTTGACTGTAGCGACGGAAGTGATGAAGCCAACTGTAAGAGTCTGAATGTTTTACCCAGGACAGTGAAATATCCCAATTTTGGTCCGGGCAAGAGCAATATGGAAATTTTTCTAAAAATTATTGTCCACATTTCTATAGTTTCGTAAAAGAATACTCACTATCCCCTAACAAATAGTAGGGCCATAATGTTGGCTCTTTCATACAAAATGGCACCATGTCTCCAGAAGGGAACCTACTGACCCGGGATCGATAAGAATAACCCAATTGCTGAATTAGCCCCTTCCAAAAATTTTGTTCACGCACATTACAGGAATATAAGGCTCAATGGAATGAAATAAAATGAAATCGCAAGTTTTTACAGATAATCAAACTTGTAAAACCTTTCAGGCATTAATTTCCCCTTGACTGTTTCTGTCTCATGGAAGGTGGAAACAGTTGTAACTGGAATGACTGGAGTGAATGGTCTGCTTGTAATACCGGCTGTGGTGCCGGTCAACGCAGCCGAACTCGCACCTGTAGTTGCAGTAGTGGGAACTGTAATGGGGAGTCTGTGGAGTATGATATATGTAACGGTGACGACTGCTTCCCTGAAGCCAGTAAGTTAGCAGTGCATTCAATTATTATTCTGGGAGAAAAGGAGTTGATTTACACTTAAATTGAATGGTAAAGTTTCATATTCTGTCTTTATAATCTACCAGGCCGTATGCCGTCCCTCAACAACATGGAGGGCGCAAGTTTGGGCGCAAAGGTCAATTCACGCGCAGTTCAGTGACACTCGAACGAAATTTCATCGTTATCACATTTTCTGGTTGGCTGAAATTCTCGCATCTTACATTTTTACAATTATTTTCCTATGAATGGTTCCTTCCTTAATCATAAATGAAATCGGTTATTGATAACCAGCAATACGACCATACCCCTAGGCCTTGTCCCAGTGTGGTCTACTATAGATTGTTCAAACCATCTTTCGTTCTGCGGTGTGAATAGTCAAATTATATATTGTTAACTGTAGTTGTCGCTCGAGCTGTCTAACCTATTTGGATTGGATTGATTTAATGAATGAATGATTAAGAAAAAAAGAAAACGTTCTATTTTAGATTATTTTAGCAAATATATATCAGTAAAGTCATCTGAGCTATGCCAATCTTGGGCCTACAAAAGTTGGCATCATGATATCATGAATCATCTGAATAATCGACATAATAACTGGAAAAATGCTGACAACTCTTTATCTGACGATTGTTACTTCAAGGTGCGGGTTGCGGTACCCGCCAACCCGTTGGGTCCAACAACCGCATCGTTGGTGGAGAAGACGCCGTACGTGGCGCTTGGCCTTGGCAGGCACAACTCTTCTATTACGGCAGCTTCATTTGTGGTGGGACGCTGGTTGGCAATAGATATGTCATCAGCGCTGCTCATTGTTTCACTGGAGATGGATATGAGTAAGTATCAGAAACAGACGCTGTTTGGAGTGCTGGCACGCACACAGAGTCTTTTTTATGCTTTTAAAAGATGGCAATATTCCCACTTTGGTTTGGTTTGACTTATATGCAGACAGAGGGGACCACTTTTTGTCTTAAAAAAACAGGCTCTGAATTCGAAGTTCGTCGGTAGATATCGTTAGCACGGTGTTGGCTTTGCTGGACTGTTTGGGATTTAGTTAATTAAAGTTGTTCAGGTCACCAGCAATGGAACTTGCAGTCAAAAAATTGAGAAAGATGCTTTTGAGCAAAATAGCTGGTTTTTTTTGTAAAACAAAACACAAATTTTAACAGTTACAGCAACGGAGCTGATTGGACAGTACAACTCGGTAAACTCTACGCTTCTAGCAACATCGACTCATCCAATGGGGAGTATGAGAGTGGAGTGTCACAGGTCATCATCCATGAAGGATACAATGAGGTCACCTCAGACAATGATATCGCTGTCATGGTGTTGTCCAACCCACTACCAGCAACAAACAACTTCGTCAACTTCGCCTGTCTGGACTTGAACAGTACCAGGGCATTTGATGCTACTTCTAACTGCTTCACTTCTGGATTCGGTGCCTTGTCCTGTGAGTCATGTTGCCTTCGCATCTACTCATTTTAACAATAAACTTTCCTCCAACACTGTTTCGTTTTTGTTTCCTTCATTGTGTCGCTATCAGGTTACAGCTTTATTAGTGCATAACTCGACCGGTTTATTTATTTCATTATAATGTATATCAACAGTTGTGATACGTTCATTTTCTACACCACAGTGTAGAATTTTCTCCAGTAAAAGTGAATAATATTTTCTTCCCCTGATGTAGCTGGAGGTAGTTTGGCGACCATCCTTCAAGAGGCTAACGTCCCCCTCATTCCTAGGGCTACTTGCAATGGACCGAACAACTACGATGGCGAAGTAACAAATAACATGTTGTGTGCTGGCTTTGTTGGGGGCGGCATTGACTCGTGTCAGGTATAAAAGTATAGTCCTGTCACATCACACCGTGTCATCATTATTTGAAAAAGCTTTTAAACAAATTATCTTTGAAAAAATAGAGCTATTAGCTATTATGACAGTGCTGTTTAAAGGTCTGAATCGTGCACGGTTCAGTTTGCATTTCTGCTTCCAATGAGATTTGTGACGGCTTGTATTAACGTTAATAAGATTTTTGAATGTTTACTTATTTGTTGCCAGGGTGACTCTGGTGGTCCTTTGGTGTGTGCAGCTAAAGACACCGGAGCTGACGTCGAACGCTGGTACCTTGTCGGGGTTACCAGCTGGGGATATGGATGTGCTCAGGCGAATTATCCTGGTGTCTACACTGATGTGTCTCAGTATATAGACTGGCTTCAGAACAAGATGGCGTAAACGCAAATCATTTCAGTGTATTCGTGTTAAAGTGGGAATTAATGGCAGATTCGTAAAACAAAACGAGTAACAAAACGTAAATAAGGCATGCAGGAAATAGCTTAGTTTTTCCTTTTCATTTTTAAAAAAGATTACTCAGGATTTGTGCTATATTTGAATGCTATAGCCAAAGGTTAACCTAAATGTATTCATGTTTTCATAAAGCTCTAAGCCTTACATCCATTGTCTTATAC